AAATTACTCATTATTGACAATTTTGGCAAGGGACATAACTCGCAACGTATACATTTGTTCAAAATGGAACTTTGCATACAATTACTTCATACGTTGAGCCACGTTGTCTTGGAAGTTCGATTGTTTCAGTTTTATAGTTCAAAAAAAGGAACAGGTTTTGAAAATTCAAAATTTTCAATTTTTGACCTTGACCTTTTTTGACCCTGATTTTTGTAGGATTAAAGGTCATTCACATTGGCTATCCATTTATACTTTTATATTTGCTGTCCTATCTCAACTTCCGGTTTTATAGCCGTATATATTTAAAAATTTTGATGACTTTTATCTCGTAACCTTGACCTTTGTTGACCGTCTCCCTTTCAATGTCAAATGTCATTGACCTTGGCTATCTTCTGATACTTTCATTTGTGAGGTCTGTCTACTTCCGTTATAACAATCTTCATACGTTCATCCAATTCTTAATGGACTTTTCATGCTCTTTCCAGTGATATATAACAATCGTTATTTTAAAGCAAAATTGAAATTCGTGAAATTTGAGGTTTTTTTTACAATATTTCTGCCTCTTTGAGCTTGGTGTGTATATATCTTATGACCTATTTGATGTAGAACATTTAAACCTGGAACACAACAAGATAATTTGAATATGAATTCACCTATGACAAAAAAGTTGAGGTGGGCGTGGCACATCAGGGTTGAATTACTAATTGTTTACATTTTGGGGAAGGGGGCATAACTCGCATAGGATACATTTGTTCAAAAAGGAACTTTGCACACAATTACCTCATTATTTTGGTCAGATTGTCTAATAGGTCAATTGTTTCAGCTTTATAGTTTAAAAAAAGGAACGAGTTTTGAAATTTCCATATTTTCAATTTTCGATTTTGACCTTTATTGACATTTGTTGACCTATATCTTTTGACCTGTATGATGTAGAAGGTTTAAATTTGGAACACAACATCACATTCAGAATATCAATTAACTTATGCCAAAAAAAATGAGGTGGGAGTGGCACATCCAGGTTAAATTACTCATTATTGCCATTTTTGGCCAGGGGCATAACTCACAAATTATACATTTGTTCAAAATGGAACTTTGCATACAATTACTTCATCTGTTGAGCCACGTTGTCTCAGAAGTTCGATTGAAGTAGTTTCGGCTGTATCGTTCAAAAAAAAGGAACAGGTTTTGAAAATTCAAAATTTTCAATTTTTGACCTTGACCTTTTTTGACCCCTGACTTTTGTAGGATCAAAGGTCATTCACATTGGCTATCTATTTATACTTTTATATTTGCTGTCCTATCTCAACTTCCGGTTTTATAGCCGTATATATTTTAAAATGTTGATGACTTGTATCTCATAACCTTGACCTTTGTTGACCGTCTCCTTTTCAATGTCAAATGTCATTGACCTTGGCTATCTTCTGACACTTTCATTTGTGAGGTCTGTCTACTTCCGGTATAACAATCTTCCAAAGAATCAAAACTTCCCTTTAGACTGCTCTTGCACGTGATGTAATTATCGTAGAAGGTTGATTTTTTCAGAGTCTATTGCAATTTGCTACATTTGCAAAGTCCCATTCTGTGCCACGTGTGGCTCTAGTTTATTAGTGAATTTGAATATCAGTTTCAGAACAGTATTGTTAGTCCATGATTTTCGCATTGATGAAAATCTCAATCTTTTATTCTCTACTCAATTGCTTAGTAACTAGACATGAAAGTCAATATATATTTTCTCCCCTTAGCTTAGTCTAACAAGATCACAATAAATGAACATATTCCAGAACCAAGGTTTATTTTCAGCCTGTTCGTATAACAGGCATCAAAATAATGGAGTTTTCATTCAATTTTGATATAATTTGTATAATATATCTGGATTGAGGAGGCTTGTTGATAATGCTTTTATGTTAACAGTGTGGTAATAAATGGCAAATTATTTTTTAAGCTGACTTGGGTGTATGTTGTCTTGTGGCATAAATATGGATTGAATATATTAATGTATATTGTTTATATATTGACTATTAAAGGGACAGATGTGCCATTTTGGGGGGTTGATTTAGTCTTGAATATATGCAAATAGCCTTCAGAAGTACTAGAAATGTATGAAAATCACATTATTCCTTTAAAAATACTTATTTTTTTTCTATATATCACAAAGTATCATAAATTACCATTTTAACATTCAAGCGTGTGCTGTGAACAGTATAACTGATTAGCTCAGCTAAAAAAAATTCCAGTTTCTGAGACTAATGTATGATTGGTCAAAAAAATGGCCTTCCTGTCCCTTTAAGAATTATTTTATCTAAAATTTGTTGACATTATGATTATTTCGAATTCCTTTAGTTGTGATGATTATTATGATATATTTACCGAAAGAATGTTGATCTTGTTATCAGTAGGGGGTATTAAATGCTGCTCTATCATGTGACAAGACAAATGACCATGTGAAGTGGGTCATGCACATTTTATCACTCTGTAAGATTACATTAAACATAAATACACTTCCAATTTATTTTGCTGTAATGTAAATTGATCAGTGTGAAAATAAAATGTGATAATATGTGCCAATGTTTATATTCTTTCAAAGGTAATGTAAGAATATCAATTATCATTACTAATATGAAAATAGAAAAAAAAACTATAAAATTCGATTTTCCTACATTGAATGTAGTTATTCTTGCTTGAAGTATATCATCTATATTTTTTCAGGTATTAATAAGAGGGCGTTCCACAGATGAAGCTTTATCTACAGTCCCAGACCATTTGTAAATCCTACTTAATAACTATATCAGGTATATCTTAACTCAGTGTAAATTTGGTTCTTTATAGATACCGGTAGACAGATATCCTAAATGGCTGCAAGGTAGACCTACATCAGAAAAAAAATTAAATCCAGATTAGTTAAACTAACTTTACTCTGAAATCATACTTGCATTAATTATCCATTGATTAAAGGGACATTTGTGCCATATTAGGGGGTTTATATTAGTCTTGAATATATGTAAATAGTCTTCAGAAATACTACAAATGTACGAAAATGGCATAACAATTATGATAATTCCTTCAAAAACATCTCGAAGTAGTAGTATCACTCACTATTTCCATGTAAGTCTTTGTATATATGATAGAGAAAGTTAAAAAGACTTTCAAACGAGGATAATTCTGGATACCGACAGATTTCGACGGTGGGCTGTGAACACTATTACTGATAAGCTTTCCCATTTCTGAGACTTAAGATACAGTTGGTAAAAAAAAAAATGGCCCAGAAACTTTTGGCACAAATCTAATGCTATCACTTTGGCTATGTGTTACTTAAATATCCAGATCATGTGGATTACCTTTCCCTTGTTGGTTTTTGTATTTACCTCCAGCAGTATTGACTTAGCTTAAAGGCGGTATTTATTTTATCTAAAATTGTCTGTAACAGAGGCAGAGCTTCTGCCACAAATCTTATCTATGTCATCATACCAATGCCTTTACTTCCAATAATCTTATGCTGCTGGCACAGTTTGTCACCAAACCTGAATCTTGAGTCAAATCCCAGGCGTGCCTGTGCTTCCCCAACAAGATTATCCTGATGTAGACAGTTGATATTGTCGCAGATTGTTTTATAGTCTTTTTTTAAACACATGTACAAATATTGTCATAGACTAGAAATATTTACGAGGTAACAATTTGTCCCTGCTTTTTAATGCAAATAATTATATATTTTCAAGAAACAATTTTTTTGTCCCTAGAAAGTGACATTTACAGCAAAATGAACTTTTTTTTTTTTTGTTACAAATAAATGTATGTCAATATGCAAATATCAACTGCTCAGGTATCTTGCTTTTTTGGCCTCTGATAAATGTTTCAACTGCTGTTCCTATAACAGATGAAATAAATGATGATCTCACCAATATTATCTTGTTTGATTTTTCTGTCTTGTGTTATATGATATGAAACTGTGTAATATCTAAAAGAATATAGTCAAGTTTTACTCAGTAACTTGATCTATGCCAATATTACAAGCTGCTGGGATCTTAAAAGTTTTTGTGGAATAGTAAATGATTGTTGTATTAAGTTTCTATGTGATTTTATTTGTTCTCTACTTGTGTATGATATTGATTTGTTTTTTTGATTTTTATGATTTATTTGATACTGTTAAATCTTATGGAATTAAAACAATGACATGTATTTTCTATTGTCTTCTTTTATAAATATAAATAATGCAGTGGAATTTTTTGTTTTCTTTCAATAAAGACGAGTATATATAAAAATGGGACAAATGAAAAGAAGATTAGTTTAGAAGAACACAAATCTGAGGTAATCATATAAACAGACTAAAATGATAAAAATAATTGTTGATAAATGGTTAAAATAAAGTAACAAAATGACACACAAACAAACTAGTTAATCCTTGAACAAACAGGTCAGTCAAACTAAAGCTTACTTTAGACAAGCTGGACAGGGTGTATATTTACTAATAAACCAAAACAGGCAAAAAAAAAGAAATATACTTTGATCCAGCTCAGTGGCAGAGCCAGGTTTACATCTGAGGGGGGCGAAATATCTGAAATAGTTATGAGACTTTTGCCCGTAAAACTTGCTTTTGGGGCTGTGAGGGGGGCACTGTCCCCTCTGCCTCCGCCAGTGATCGGCTAAAATTAAACATATCTAAAACACATGTTGCTAGATTATCCATATCATTTTTTGGTTTCTAATATGGAAAGGCAAAGACATATCCAATATCATTATGTCTTAAGTTCTAAATCAAAGTTATGATCAGTTTCACTCATATTGGCATCGATCATATAAATCAGAATACTTTACTAAGATAAAGCATGACCATACTGTGAAAAATAAGATACGAAGTAATTATTTTGACATATTAATAAGCCATTAATTATGCTGTTAGATTTCCCAATTGTACCATGTTTTGTCTTCAGTCTTACCTCACAAATGTGATGCATAAAGTATGAAATGAGAACAAGAAATCTTAAAATCGTGTTTCCCATCATTCCATAATTTTTGGATCTACAAAAACAACTTGAAATATGCGTAGAATTAAAATAGGTGCAAAAAAAAAAAAACAATAAAAAACTTATAACCTTGTCAAGCCAACAGCATTAATAGATGGTTGCCCTTATTCTATCTCTTAACGAGAAAATTTAGAGCAAAGACATCAGTATCCCCAAAATGTACATGAGTGAAGTGATAAGGATATATATATATTCTGAAAAAGCTGTCTGTGTCCATTTTAAAATTTAGGTTCATGTTCCACAGTGTATCCAAAATCCAACATGATTACAGTAATTTAGATATTCAACAATAGGCTACCAGGTCATACATTCATCAGCATACAATCGAGCAGTTACACAATAATAAATAACATTGTAAAAGTCAAGCTTTATAAACACGTATCACATTGAGTAGCTTAGCAGTAGAGGAAGACAGCTCAATCTTATTCAACATATAAAACATCAGCAAAATTACATGGTCCCATTTCACTTGATAGTCCACCAACAACATATAGCTTGTCATTCCACATAGTATAACCACAAGAACTGTGACTTTGTTCAGAATCTGCTAATTGTAACCATTTATTTTTCTTCACATCATAAGCCTCTACTCGATTTGTAGGTTTTCCATCATTAGCTGGAAAAATAGAGATACAAAGAGTAGAAAAAGTACCACTGTAATAAGTACTTATTATCAAACTGAAATTAAGATCCACTTATCAACAGAAAAATCAAGCTTTAGGTTATCTACTATGAAAGACTGTATTTCTTGTATTCCTTGATAATGTTTCGAGATTTGTGGTGCAAGCAAAAATTGAACAGAAAATAGATGAAGAGCAAAAATTTAGCAACACTTACTTAATCCACCAACACAAACAACTTTACCTCCACAGACACCAATAGCAAAATCACCACGTTTTACCATCATATTATTACCAACCGTCCAATTTTCTATATATAAATAATACAGTGAAGTCAGTCAGAATATCAGTCAGTGTATTACTCCCATTCATTGAGAATCTCGGTCAGTTTATTACCACCATTTATTGAGAATCTCAGTTAAATTAGAACTCCAATTTACTGATAATTTAAGTCAGTTTACATTTATCATTCATGAGAATCTCAGCCATTTTATCATTCCCTTCACTGATAGTCAGTTTATTACTATCATTCACCACTGAGAATCTCAGTCAGTTTTTTTGCTCCCATTCACTGAGAATCTCTGTAAGGTTATCCTTCCATTCACTGAGAATCTCAGTCAGTTTATCCTTCATTCATCAAGTCTGTCATCCTTACTAGGCAATGAACACTTAACTTGGCCTAAGGAACAAAAAACTCACTTTTTTCAATGCTGTAAACTTCACAGGTATTAGTAAAACCTTTACTGGCAGGATGGCTTAATCCACCCATACTAAATAAATGGGTATCTGTTGCAGCATACATAGCAAATACTCTTTTACTGGGTATATTCTCTAATTGTTCCCACTTATTGGTAGTAAAGTCAAAACAGTCAACTGCTAAGCTTGGTAGTTTACCTTGTCTTCCACCTGTCAAAATAATACATAAATACAATGATAATATGGCATCTGTACAAGAACCTTTCTAACAAATGGTTCAAAGGTAGCTGATTTATACTAACTGTTTTTTTTTCCAGGTATGTATAATTCATTTGAACACAGCAGCAGAATATTTCAGTTAATATTATGATATTATGTAAGCTAACCAAGTTTTACATTGTATTAACAGAGAAATGTAAAAGGGATATAGTCATCTAAATATTTTTAAACCAGCTACTTTTAAAATCTAGTTCTCCTAAAATTCTGTGGCCATTTAGACACTTAAAGGACTAATTTAATGTTGTATGGACACAAAAATGTTAATAGCACGCTTTTGTCAAGTCTACAGTTTGTGTTTTTAATTTTAGGAGAGCCAGACATCCGGGATTTTAGTACTAAGAGGGGATATTGAAAGCTAAATACAACAACTACAGTATATCTTTTTTCTAAATTACAACTACTATCAGAAAAGGATTACTTGCTTGTCTTTACACTAAGGTTTCTTACCTAAAACGTATAGTTTATCTTGTAAAAGAAATGCTGATGAAGCATATCTAGGTGAAGGCATGGACGGTAACTGTTTCCATTTATTTTGATCAATGTCATATTCTAGGAATAAATCCTTTGGATTGGTATTCTTGGCCATACCCCCAATCAATAAAATTTTGCTATCTGAAAGGAAAGGAATTAGACAACAATCAGATACCATGGTCAAAATGAAGTTTTATGAGTTTACTAATGTTATGCCATTGAGTTCATATATTATTAATTAATAAACCATCTACTAACGATTCAAACTGCAAAACGAAACCCGAAATCAAAACAACATACTGGCAAAACATTGGTAGGAGCTAATGAACTTTTCATAAGAGGAATCATAAATGAGTAAGTATTTTAGAATGAAAAGTGGTATCAGGTGTCTAGAAGAGTAAATATACCCTGCTTGGCACCACACCATCATAGCTGTTCAACATACAAAACAAACACAACAAATAGGAATGTGCCAACAAAAAGTTCAAAGGATGTAGATGTAACTGATGAAAATATATTTTTTTAATTTCAATAGTCAAGGGAGAGAACTGATCACAATATTAAATTGCCAGGCAAGGTAATATAGCTTTGATTTTGAATAAATATATTTGGCAGTACAGTAACAATCACCAGTATGAAATATTTAATCTTCAGTCATACACTTCTTTTGAACTTTTTGGGGCAATACTGAATAATATTACCAAGTTTTGTCAAAATCTGTCAAGAATTGGGCCTTCTAGAGTTTTTACAGGCTAAAACTTGAACATGTTTTTAAGAACAAGGCAATAACTCGTATTAAACATTTTTCAATTCCTATGATTTTCAATAGGGCTCATCAATTAGTGATATCAAACACTAACACCAATTTTCGGCAAAATCCATCCTGTATTGTCCCTTCTAGAGTGTTTATGAGCTAATAATTTAGCGTGTTTTCAACAACAAGGGCAATAACTCATACTAAATATTTTTCGATCTTTCTGATTTTCATTAAGGTTCATCATTGGGTGATAACCAATACTCACACTAAGTTTCGTCAAAATGCGTGAAGAATTGTGGTTCCTAGTAGGAGTTTACGAACAATTAAGGACGAATGAACCGACGGACGGACAGACAATGGTCACACCAATATATGCCCTAGAGTTTTTACAGGCTAAAACTTGAACATGTTTTCAAGAACAAGGGCAATAACTCATATTAAACATTTTTCAATTCTTATGATTTTCAATAGGGCTCATCAATTAGTGATATCAAACACTAACACCAATTTTCGGCAAAATCCATCCTATATTGTCCCTTCTAGAGTGTTTACGAGCTAAAAATTTAGCGTGTTTTCAACACCAAGGGCAATAACTCATACTAGATATTTTTGATGCTTCTGATTTTCATTAGGGTTTATCATTGGGTGATAACCAATATTCACACTAAGTTTCGTCAAAATCCATCAAGAATTGTGGTTCCTAGTAGGAGTTTACGAACAATTGAGGACGAAGGAACCGACGGACGAAGGTGACACCAATATATGCCCTCCATTTCATGTGGGCGTATAAAATTAAGATATAGCTTACACAAGTGAGAACATTAACAACAATTTTACTGGTCTAAAAAAAGGTTTTATGACGGATTACTTTCTGATAATTAATTTAGGCCAATGCAACAATGTTAAACCTTGTGATGATGTTTTGTAATCTATCACTGGGCTAATTAAAATAAATTGATTTAACACTTTCTAGGTTGTTTGGATATTTAGGTGTTTGGCTTATGCATGAAAACTCTTGAACTCAATAAATAAAAATTGTAAAACGAACCTTTAACTATCACAGATACACCCATTAAAGGTTCAGGTAATGTTTCAACTTTACTCCACTTCTTTTCTTCTAAATCAAACATTTCTACGACATCTAATGGTGTTTGTGTTTCTGATACACCACCAATAGCTATTAACTTTTTCCCTATTATTACTACAGCTACTCCCGCTCTTTTAGTAGGCATACTTTCTAATTTGGTCCATTTCTTTGTCTCATCATTATATACTTCTAAACTGTCAATTGGTGTTCCCTTTTCATCACATCCACCAACTGCATACAATGATGACTCATTAGGAACCAAAGTTGTAAATACCCGAATATCTGTCATAGGTTCTAACTTCTCCCACTTATATTTTGGATTTGACATGATGTAACCCTATTTTCAACTAGTTTGTTTTCCTCAAATAAGATAACCTGCAATAAATCATTTGTACCATACTCATTTTAATAGGTTGTTTATGTCTTTTACACGTCATGTTAACTTGAAAGCAATGCTTTCAGGCCTACAATGAATCTGATCTATGTTTGTACCATTGGACTGACAAAAATCATGACCCCATTTATAAAAGTGTTTATTATCATAAGGCTCAGAGTCTGTATTCATAAAATCATAGAACTAAAATTAATTAATAGGTGGTTTACTAGGCTAGGCTAATATAAGGCTGGGCGATAAACCGGAATCATGATAAATACTGGTATAGGAATTTATATTGTTAGTTATATGGCCTATAACTATATGGTAGTTATCATGATATATTGTAAAATTTTTATCCAGATAAGATCATCTACATGATTTTAACAAGTAACTTAATACTTGATACAGATATTTTTGTCAGTCACCATTTTTTTTAAACATCGTGGTTCTTTGAAGGAATTGTCACTAGTTATAATGAATTGATATTAAAGATAAATACTAAGAGAAGTTAATTATACCACCCGGTATCCATACAACGTGTTTTTCTAGACTTATTTATAGATCAAACATTGTACACGAAAATAGGTCACGCATTCTGCCGCCGTTGCCGAGTTGGTTGCTCATAAAATATGGGTCAAAGTGAAGGATTCATAAAGAAAATCGAAATAAACCAATTTTAATTATTTTGTAAAATATCTGAGGATACATCTAAGACATAAAATTTGACGAAATTCGGTGTTGAATCCTTATAACCACAAAAATAGGTTACACCACTGTATTATAATTGCTTTATATCCTGATCCTGAACCAATATCGCCCAGCCCTGGGGTAATACTAATAATGGTAACAATTTATTACAGGATATAGAAGACCCTTTCACCTCCATTTATTTCGTCAACAATATAACAGCAGAACACTTGTTTAAAGCTACCAGTAGTAATTGCATTGATTACAGCAGGGTCGGCAGCATAGAATTATATATAGAAACTAGAGTCCACACTTATCACGTGACTCCCATTGGCTCAACGTTAAAGATTCGTGCTGTCATGAAGCGACGTCAGCCATCACGATTCCGGGGAGTTTCCGGAGTGAATACCCGGATATACTGTTTGTTTACAATGGACGATCTTCGATCTTCTTATTTCATGTCTATTTCCCTTAGATGAAAATTAAAAAAAAACAAGTTTCATTTCATTATTTCGGAGAATAAAGCTTTTTTCTATCTATTCGTCTATTTCATTATATTAATTTTTAGGTTATGAAGAGTTAATAGTCTTAAAGTGCCCGGTGGGTAAAGCTCATTTTTATAAAAAAGAGAAAATAGGCACTGACTTATTAGGCCTACATGATGTTTACTTGGAACAAAATTTTCTCTCCGGATATTAGCAACCCATTTAGCAGATAATTCTTGGTCTTTAAGTGGAAATCTGGATTGAAACATATCTCATTATTAAGTCTCGATCTTAATAGCCTACCAGTAGCCTACGTACATAGACCTAGCCTTGGCCTATTAAGACTTATGTTTTTATACCTTACGCTTACATTGTTGTGCCTTCAAAAAAGTCTCAGATACTACACGAATAGCAACCTGAGGTAGAAACATGAATGGCAGATTCATTTATCTATTTATCTGTTTATTAATTTGATTGTTTGTTTAGGCTAGGTGGCGAAGAGGAATTGATTCGAGAGGTTTGTGTGAAGGGTTATAGGCCTAGGCCTAGTAAGCCGTAGGTACTAGTTGTAAGGGAGTTGAGGCCTATAATATAAAAGAGACTTTCAGACTTTTAGATATATTCAATCATATATAAACCGATGGCTACATAACCTAAAGATTATAGTTATAGGCAGTAGCAGTGGGCCAATTCTATAGAGTCTATAGACCTAGAGCCTAGACGTCTAGTTTCTAATTCTAGCCTGTAGAGCCTTCATTGGCTTCGTCATAGAATAGGCTAGGCCGAATTTGTTTGAAAGAGGGATTAAATCATGATAATAGACTTGCCTATGAAATGCTAAGCCATTCCCTTTCTTTCTCGTGTTAGAACACCCGTAACAACAACAACTTTCAGGCATATTGTGTACAAAAACAATAAGTAGGTCAAGCTTTAACATCAAGTCAAGTCCCCGGACTCGCGATGGCTGACAAGGCTACTTGTCGGCCCGCGGTCACGTGATCAGTGTAGACTCTAGTTTCTATAACTCTATGGTCGGCAGTCATAAAACATTTGTTTGGGAATCACAGACACCATGTAAGCTACTGTACACTACATCATACATGGTCATGGTAAATTGTCAAACTTTCGTTTCCTACCTGTAATAATTTATAGGCCTACTAAGGAGCAACAAGACAAAAATTGGTCTTAAGACTAACCGTCATAAATACACTTTCAAAGGATTCGGGATAGACAATTAAGGAAATACTTTCCAAAATAGTAAATTGTTTCTCCGGGGGAGATAAATATCTTAAAGCGGAAGTTAGAAAAATATATCCAGACCACTATTAAACTTTCGATACGTTTTAAAGCTGCTAGGCGTAAAACTTTATCTAAACAAAGGCAACATGATTTGAAATATGCCTCTGTCTAACAGGCATGTGCATTAATGTTTTTATGGTCAGTGTAGGAATTTGCAATTTTTGGAAGAGAATTTTGCACTGTGAAATCCGATTTTCTAAACTTTCGAATCTTTAATCTAATACATATATATATATAATAATATATAATCTATACCTATATTCGTGCATATAAGGATTCAACAACGAATTTCGTCAAAATTAAAAAAATATATCTTAGACGTTTCCTCGGATCTTCTATAGAATAATTAAAATTGGTTTGTTTCGATTTTTTTTTATGAATCCTTCACTTTGACCCATATTTCATTAGCAACCAACTCGGTAATGGCTGCTGAATCATTAAATGCGTCACCTATTTTCGTGTACAATGATTTATAAATAAGTCGGGAACACAGTGTCACGTTGAATGGATACCCAGTGGTAACTTCTCTTAGTATTTATCTTTAATAATATTTCATTATAACTCATGACTATTCCTTCAAAGAACAATGATTTAAAAAAGTAGTGACTGACAAAATATAAGATAAGTATATTTATTGCTAAAAGTCATCGAAACAACATAAGAATATGGTGCACATTGTGTTCTACAGAATTTTTCTGCTAACATGGAATCTACTAGTTTATCATGTGACTTCGTTCATTGCTCTGCATTCTAGAGACGACACTTGATTTCCGATTACAGCTTAGGATTATAAGGAAATTCGGTCTATAAAAAATTGTGATATTTGGTAATTGTGTGATATAGGCCAGTCCCTTCTCATGTGATTTTTTTTAATAATGTGAAAATGTAGGCTATCCGGTAATTTTTTTAACCAATTTGTCACACATAAATAATTGGATGACTGATATTATCATTTCATATTCATATAGTTTCAGTTTTATAACAAATTAATTTTATAGTGCTTCTATACACAATGAAACCTATTTCTCACCTTTGTATTATATTTCTATTATAAAATGGCGTATTTCAATTATAATGTTCGTAGGCTATCGTGGTGAGGTAGCCTACTATGGTATACCATGTATGTTCAATTGTTTTAAAGAAATATGTTCATTAGAGACACCTCTCTATATATAATGGTTTATTGGGGAGTGGAATTCTGAGTCCGACTGTATATTATCACTTGGTAGTGGTACAGTTATTTCTAGTTGAGAAATCGCCCACGATTGCACCGAGGCCCGTGCTAAAATAGCATATAGTACAGCTCCAACAACACACACTAAGGCTCCTAAATAAAATACGTGTCTCCATTCTTCTTGTGATTTCTGGAATATCAGAGAAATGAGTAAATGATATATAGAAAGACTACGCTGAATCAAATGAAAAAACCCCTGTTCAAAGAGCTTACAAATCTATTTTTGACGCGCATCATATGTCGAACCATTGGCACGTACGTATTAAGCGTTATCAATGTATTATGCATGCGATCTTGGGGGTCTTAGATTTCTTTCTGTATTGTATGCTACATGTATCAGCTTGTAAATGACTTACATTAGGTGTTAGTGCACCAGCTACAATAGGTGCAACCATTCCAGGAATAGTACCGACAAAATTACAGATTCCACAAATAATACCAGAATATCTAAAACACAAATGTTTTTCTTGGAAATTGTGGAATTATATCTACAAGTTTAAGGGATTGAAAACCCATTCAGTAAGTAGTTGTTTATGTTTTTCGGTTGCATAGATACAGTTTTTCAAGACAGCATCTTTGCAGATACGCATAACATTTCAAAAAGTATACCTTTCAATGTTGAGGCAAGTTCTAAGGATAAGGACCTTCTAAGAAGAAGGTATAATTCTATACTTCAATGGAAAGATTCAACATACCTTGGAGCAAAATCAACAATATTTGCTATATATCCAGCTGATGAACACGCTAACGCTGCTGTGCTCAGAGATAGAAATACCACAGCCAGATATCTCTCTTGTATAGAAATATAACCAGTGCCTATTAGAAATCCCACTGCCACCATATAACCTATAAGATATAACCATGTGTAAATATTAAATAACAGAACACAATTTTATGGTATACCACTCCTTAGTTTTATTACACACGACGTTTCAACAATCTACATTATCATCTTCAGGTGAAGTGTGTAATAAAACCAAGGAGTAGTATACCATAAAATTGTGTTCTGTTATTTAATGTTATCTCTACCCCTAAATGTCGCCAAGGGATTATGTGTAAATATGTTTTAAATAATAAAGACGAGACAAGTCATTTAGATCGAATCAAACAATATTAGACATAATATCTTACCTGTGCATTGGAATGCTTTTCTAGTATTTATAGTATTGCATAACTGTTTACTTCTTAAAGTATCAGCTAAATAACTGGAGATCAATGCCATAATGAATGATGTTAGAGGTGGTAATGTTGAATATACTCCATTCTGTTAATAGATAAAAAATTTAAGATGTGACACGCAGTGGAGGCGCCAGAAAAAGGCGTATTCCATCTGTACCCCCACTTTATTTACAATTTAAAAAAAAATACGTTTCCGCACCAAAATATGTGTCTGAATGCACCAAATTTCTTGGGAGTACCCTACTCAGACGATCCATGAGAGGCATACGTCAAGACAAGATTCTCGGAAAAACGAAGCCAATCGTAGCCACGTCGACAAACTATAGTTGTAATGTGGCATATGGTGTCAGTATACCTATCGTAGATGAACTTTTGACTTGGGCATACACTTTTCAGGTTGAAGAATGACCTCGGGGACAGTCTTTTCCACCAAAAGAGTCGTCGGGTCTTGGTGTGTAATTAATATACAAACAAGCAACATTAGCTATACTATTATTACATGTCAACTTACAGATTTAATATCATATTTTAAAACATCTTTCATAAATAACGGTAAACATGTTAATAATGTATAGTCAACCCAATCTGTACAAAAATTACCTATAGCACAGGCCCAGGTAGCAGGACTGGTTAAAATACTTAACCATGGTATATCTGTATTCTGAAATATGGCAAAGGATCAGATCATCATTAAACATGTGCAGGTGTCAAATGAAAAACCTAAACGGCATCTTATGTATATGATATATTCTGTAAGCGTATACCCAAAAGGTATGTTATCTAAAGGCGAAATGTTGAATGTCTATTCGCTGTCCTTGAAGATTGGAGATAACTTAACTGGGACCTTTTTTGAAATCAAAACTGTTACCGTTGTTATAGGTAAACTATCTACAATATATTTTCTTTCTTCTTCTGTTATATTTTTACTTGTACACGGTGTATCAGATACAACAAGCATCCATACCACTGACCAAAAAATAGCAAATATTCCTACAAAGAAATACCGACCTCTTACATTTTACATGTCATGTTCATGACAATGTTCATGTTGATATTTTACTAAAATAGTTTAAAAATCAGATCGGAATTATATAAGCTATGCCTACCTGTAAGATAAAAGATGGACGGCCAACCTCCAGCAAAACCATAATCACATAAAAGCCCAGAACCTGTCATTGTAATTATTACACCTGCAGCACAACCTTCAACAAAATAAAAGACACAGTACACAAGGTAAGTAGCCTACATATTGGTGTTCTCTCCTCGGTCTTCATATTGCTTTTCCGACACGTTACCAAAGTTATCCTTGAAAAGGATATTCCTGACCACTTTTATATAAAGATGTACAAAGCATAAATCATTAAAATCACCGTGTTCTGTAAAGAGCTGTTTACATATGAAAGTTTCTTGAGAGCTATGAAGGATTTTTATATAAAATTCGCAAAAAAAGCTTACCTGAGCTTGCTAATGCTATCAATTTAGTTCTTTCTAATGGCGGAGCCCAACGTCCAAACAGACAAAACAATGATGGATAAATTGCACCCTAACAAAAATGTAACAGTTAAGTAATAAAAAAAAATCTCTATCAAATTATATATAGGTTTAACTGATGCAACACTTCCAGTAGCGTTCTAAGGTAAACATACACCTAGGCAACTAATTTTGAAAATGTAAAAATATAAACAATTCAAGAGGTTAGCATTTTTAAAAAAATGAACAGTGGATATTTATAATACTTACTCCAAATAACCCAACTAAGAATCTAGATATGTACATGTATATTATCCCTTTTTTGGCAACTAATGGCATGGTAATTGTTATTAGCCCTGCCAATGTCATCATAGCCCCAACAAGTCTTTTGGCACCAAATTTAGAAGCAATCCACCCCCCTGGTAACTGAAGGATTATATAACCATAGAAAAACGAACTTAGTAAACCAGTTTGTTCATTTGAACTCCAATCCAAATTACCACTCTGAAAAAGACAAGCGCAATCAATTGTTACCATACATGCTTCAAGAAACAATCACGATACGCATAGCTTCTATGCTATTATAACTGACATTTTATTATTATATTATAATAGTGTATCTACACACATTATAATATTACATTGTAAATCATATTATAGTTAGATAGTTTCAATATGTGTATAACTTGTCAGGTACAATATGCATTATCATAACTTGTCAGAAACAATATACAATGCCATAACTTGCCAAATAAAATATACATTATCATAACTTGCCAGAAACAATATACATTATCATAACTTGTCAGAAACAATATACAATGCCATAACTTGTCAAATAAAATATACATTATCATAACTTGTCAGAAACAATATACATTATCATAACTTGTCAGAAACAATATACATTATCATAACTTGTCAGATACAATATACATTACCATATCTTGTCAGAAACAATATACATTATCATAACTTGTCAGATACAATATGCATTACCATATCTTGTAAGGTATAACGATATACATTATTATAACTTACCATTACTTGTCAGATACAATATACATCACCATAACTTGTCAGAAACAATATACATTATCATAACTTGTCAGATACAATATACATTGCCATAATTTGTCAGATACAATATACATTATCATACTCTTTAGTTACAATGGACATTATCGTTAGATTCTTTGTACATTTCCACAATTCGTAAGACACGATGTGTATCATAACTGGTCAGATACCCTAGACATAAACATAACTGGTCACATACAACGTATTCATTATCATAACTTGTCAGATACAATGGACATTGTCATTACTTTTTATCGAATATAATGTACATTATCATAGGTAGATAGAGTTTAGGGTGGTTGGTTGAAAGGTAACAAGTTGCTATTCAACAGAAATAAGACCCCGAAGTCAATCACAAATGATATTGTGACTGACCACAGTAGATTGTGACTGACTTTTGTCATTCCAGTGAATCTTTTTAGATCTCTATAGTCTCACTTGGAGTGGTTTCTTTCAATCTTTTGAAATAGTGTATATCTGTTTGGAGCCTCAATTTTCTACCAAGTTCTACCATCTTTGGAACAACTTTTCTTCAACAATAATATAAGCTTAGTGAAGATAATATCAGTTGTTAGCTAAACACCCCATCTTTTGGTTAGTATTCATGTTTGCATATTTATTCTCTGTATATATTATCCATATTAATTTATCATAAGGTGCTATATTTAATCATGTGCATATTATCATTTAACTTACAGTGATAATAATATTCGGTGTTTTATGTTTTAATTGTACAGGTATTATATTTGTTATTATTGTGTATATTATTATTTCAAGGTGTTTGTTTATGATGTAATAAAGTTCATAAGATTCAACCCCAACGAGTTAGCCCGGCTACAAACTTACTTGAATGTATTCAGCTCACTTTTCAATAAAGGAACTTTAAATGATATTCATTTAATTTATGATGTTAAATGGCACTAATACTCTAATACTAGATATTCCATGCATGATAAAAACTTGATTGTTGATTCAAAACCAGTAAAGGACACTTCTCTTTAAGACCCTTAAACATGGACCCTTAAACATCAAGATAGCTAAGCTAAAAAAAGTTTCAAGTATTGAGCATCATTGTACAATTACTTGCAAAAACTCCACCTCGACTGGTGAATGAAAAATGACTGACGATTTCGACTAATTGTGACAACTTGGGGGCCTAACAGAAATCACTGACACAGGGTCAAAGCAATGTTCACTATAATTGTTAAGGCGAGTATGTAATGGGAATTCGCAGTGCTTCTATCACACTGACTTAAAACTCAAAAATATTATCAATATATAATTATTACATAATAGTAACTAAATACTATTTTTTTAACTCTTTCACTGAAACTACAAACCTAAACGTAAAATTAAATTAACAAATATTCATTAAGGTTTAACAAAATGTTAGCCGGACTTTCTGAAATAATGATCGTTTTTAATGATCCTAAACTGCACTTTAGATAGAGTGTACATAATCAATATTCGTTAGCACTACCACACTTTCAATTTGCAAGAGTAAAGTTGCCAAAAGCATATAATGTTGCAACTTACCTCCGATAATGGAAAGGAATGTCGAGTATGGTTATTAATAAGATCAGTGGTACTATTTAGCCCAGTGCTGTTTACCATACAAACTATAGCCACACTGAGATTAGTTCTTATTCCAAAATGAACAGCACAACCAAAGAAAACCATGTAACCCAATTTCCATCTCTCACTCCAGTATAACGGAACTAAATATAAAATCAGTCAATTGCAGATCTGTTAATTTATTCATACAGGTAAAGAGGCTGGAAAAGGGAGGGAGAGAGAAATAATTTGTTATTTTACCGGGACGTTTCTGTAACACTGAAAATATATATCTAGAAGATTGCACGAAGTTACTTGACTGTGACATACATAAATACCATTGAAGTAAGCTATTAAATCTTATATCATGTTTAAAATTTGGCCTATTTAATATAGACGAGTATAATTGAGTTATCTACATAAGTATTCTATTATCTTTCATTTCCAGGCTCATTTGGATAAGAACATGTTCTTAAAAGATGTGAAATGTGAAATGTATGTTAGTGAAATATGTACTCCACGGGCATAATTTCTTGGGGAGGGAGCATTAATTTCTTACCTTTTGATTCACTTGATAACGAAGCAGAACTTGAACGGGGAAGTAAAGAGGTCCTTTCCGCATCCGACATTACGAAATTTTGTTAAAAGTCCGTTTCAAATCCCAACATAATCGTACAAGTCAATGTGATAATAACCTGTCCTAAACCTTGTCACAACTTCTCCGTATTATACATTTTATCTGAGTGTTGGCAAACAAAATAGATATAGTTTCTTCTTTCAAACAAGTGTTGTTAGTTGACATTGACCTTCATAACCCAATTAAAATGACTATGAATTTTTTTATGTGGCCTATAAGTGGTTATTTATTCATGTGTAGTACATGATTATTGCATCTCGTTCTCGTATTACTGATTAGGTTCGCTTTTAAAACCTATTATTTTCGTCAACAGATAGTATGAATTTCAGAATAAGAAAACAAGAGGTTTAATAGGGAAAAATAATATACTTACGCTAATGCTAGAGATGCTAAAAGAGATAACCTTTAGTTGACCTGTGTGAGATCTTTCAAAAGTCCAAAAAATCCATAAATTGTTGAACTCATTCGAGATCATTTTAAGTTAAATAGCCAAAAAAATTTCGAGATTTTGTTTTTGGTTTTAAAACATTGTTTATTCATTAAATGCTACTGTCTTATTGTATAAATAGCTAGTAGGCCTACGAACTGCGTATTATACCTTGACATCATAGGCACTTTCTTGTAAGCAGATGTTTGTGATTTGATTAGATTTAATCAGATTCCTCGACAAATAGTTACACAGCAATATTATTTCCGCGTAGGGTTCTGATTGGCTGTAATCCAATCAAATTAAGGCATTTACAAACAAGTCTGTCAAAAATAGAATCTTTACAACCTAAATTTAAAAATGCACAGTTTTGGATCTAGGACTCCATCAAAGCAATTTGACTCCCCCTCTATTGTCTTCCCAGAGCTGCGTCACTGCTTATGAGAGAAAAATGAGATTCAGGGTCCCTTGACGGGATCGATAAAAGGGTTTGCACATCAAGCAAATACTTAATATCAGTCGATTCGATATAAAAAAAAGAAATTTAATACATACATGAAAGGGTTTATTATATTGTCACTTTGAAATATATCGCAATCAGCAGATGAGAGAAAAAAAGAAAGTTATAAACATTTAAATACAAAATTGAGCAGATTTCCAGAAGGTAGAATACGACCAGATTGTTGGCAACTAGTTCCACTTTCACATTCCATGCACCGTCTGAAAAAAAAACAGCAAGAGAAGCAAATATAATTATATTATGAGTATTTCTACTTTGATCAACACCACCTCGCCATAAAAGAACAGGGTATTGTGATACAATAACGAAGCTTCGATCGGTTTATAACAAAACGCTAATATATAAACTTTATTTGGCACTAAGGGACTACAATGAGAATATGAAATTACATAATTGAATAATGAATAATGGAAGGGTGAAACCCTTGATAAATTGTGAACGTAGCAGCCTGTAGTCAAGATGGCAGAAGATAAGACTGCCCACGTAACTATTTGCACGCGATTAGCAGACGATGCTATTGCCGTTAAAGTTATAAACAACTCCTATATAGGCCTACATAGGATTCAAATATACACATTCGAGGGACCTCAGCATTGTAATGATATACTGATCAATTTCAGGTGATTCAAATCCTAAAAGATAGCTTGCCAAGCAAGGTTGTATGGCAGCTTTGATTTTTAAATAAGAATATAAGGCAGTGGTAACAATATAGTGTGATTGATTCAACCTTCAGTTACACTTTTTTGTTTTGTCAAAATTCGACTAGACTTCTAGTGTTTATGAGCTCAAATTTAAGAGTTTTCAAGAACAATGGCAATATAACTCATATAAAATATTTTTCGATTTTTTTGATTGGGTGATAATAAACAATATCACAATGTTTCGTCAAATTACGATAAGAATTGTGCCTTCTAAAGTGTTTATGAGCTAACAAGAGATCAAGGGCAATAACTCATATTAAATATTTGTGTTTTTTTTTTCATTTTCTATAGGATCTATCCTTGGCTAATAGTAAACAATTTCGTCTAAATTCGTCAAGAATCGTTCGTTCTAGATTATTTACGAGCTAAAAAGATAGCTCGCAAGGCAAAGTAACATACGCCCAATCGCAGCTGTCAGAAATGATAAAACATAATATATTTATATTTATGCTGAGTAACTCAAACAATTTTTTTAAAAATCAATAATTGAATCACACAGCTTTATCAAGACACATTGAAATACTTCAGAACAATGACAGTTCATCCGATTGTTACCAATTTCAAACTTAACTGAGATCTTATCCATATATACATGCATAGCAAGTTTCACCAAGATCAGTCAAAAAATGCACCCTGTATCATGACTACATCTCATCAATACATTTTCAAGTTTCATCAAGATCGCATAAAAACTGTAGTCTATAGAGTGCCTACAAGCCGAAATTTTATAAATACATGCATACTAAGTTTCATCAAGATGGGATCAAATTTGTAGCCTTCACCAAGCAAATTTAATATATTATTAGTAAGTCAAGGGCAATAACTCTGAAACCGTTCATCCGATAATTACCAATTTCGAACTTGACCGAAGTCAATATCTACAAGCATACTAAGATCGGATAAAAATTTTATTCTGTAGCATGCATACAAGCCAAATATAACGTGCTTTTACTAAGTCAAGGACAATAACTCTGAAACTTTTCATCCGATTATTACCAATTTCGAACTTGACTGAGGTCTTATCAATATCTACAAGCATACTAAGATCGGATAAAAATTTTAGCCTGTAGCATGCATACAAGCCAAATTTAACGTATTTTTACTAAGCCACGGGCAATAACTCTGAAACTTTTCATCCGATTATTACCAATTTCGAACTTGACCAAGATCTCAATATATACAAGCATACTGAGTTTCATCAAGATCGGATAAGAATTGCAGCCTTTATCCTGCCTCCAAGACAAATTTAACGTGTTTTTTGTTTTTAAGTCCAGGGCAATAACTCTGAAACAATTCATCCGATTATTACCAATTTTGAATTTGACCGGGATCTCATCAATATATACATGCATACTAAGTTTCATCAAGATCGGATAAAAATTGCAGCATTTTTCGTACATACAAGCAAAACCTAACACATTTTTACTGAGTCAAGGGCAATAACTCTGAAACCATGCATCCGATTAATACCAATTTTGAACTTGACTGAGGTCTTATCAATATCTACAAGCATACTAAGTTTCATCAAGATAGGATAAATTTTTTTTAGCCTTTAGCATGCATACACGCCAAAATTAACGCGTTTTTACTAAGTCAAGGGCAATAACTCTGAAACTTTTCATCCAATTTTTACCAATTTCGAACTTGACCAAGATCTCAATATATACAAGCATACTGAGTTTCATCAAGATCAGATCAAAATTGCAGCCTATATCATGCATACAAGTAAATGGCAATAACTCTGAAACCGTTCATCCGATTATTACCAATTTCGAACTGGACCGAGATCTTACCAAGTTTCATCAAGATCAGATAAAAGCTATAGCCTCTATCGAGCATACAACAAATGTGGACGAATGGACCGACGGACGAACGGACGGTTAGGGGCAACGGCAATATACGTCCACATTTCCATGTGAGCCTATTAAAACCGTTAATCACAAATACGTCAAGTTAGAACTTGTCCGAGATCTTATCAATTCAAAAGATCACACCAAGTTTCATCAAAATCGGTTGAAAACTGTAGCTTCTATTGTGCTCGCAAACAAATTTTGAAGTCAAGGGTAATAACTCAAAGATAGCTTGCGAGGCAAGGTAACATACGCCCACTGGCAGCTGTCAGAAATGATTAAACAGTCTTTAGTGACTAAAGTACGAATTTTCTCATATTGAAGAAATTTTATTAGTTTGAATTCAATTACATACATATATGCCAGTTATTTATGCTGAGTAATTCCACAAGATGTTTTAAAATCAATATCAATAACCCAAATACAACTAACAATTAAATCACACAGCTCTAATCAAGGGCAAAAAACAACTTTTGACGCGTGTTTACAAAGTCAAGAGCAATAACTCAAAAAAAGTTCATCAAAAATATCTCAAGTTAGAACTCGTCCGAGATCTTATCAATTTCATTGATCACACCAATTTTCATAAAAATCGGTTGAAAACTGTAGCTTCTATTGTGCTCACAAACAAATTTTGAAGCGTTTTACAAAGTCAAGGGCAATAACTCCGAAAGTTAGAACTTGTACGAGATCTTATCAATTCCGATGATCATAACAAGTTTGATCAAATTTGGTTGAAAATTGTAGCTTCTATAGTGCTCACAAACACATTTTGAAGCGTTTTTACAAAGCCAACGGCAGTAACTCAAAAACCGTTCAGTGAAAATGCGTCAAGTTAAAACTTGTCCGAGATCTTATCAATTTCAATGATCACACCAAGTTTCATCAGAATCGGTTGAAAACTGTAGCTTCTATTGTGCTCACGAACAAACTTTGACACGTTTTAACAAAGTCAAGGGCAATAGCTCAAAAACCATTCATCGAAAATGCTTCAAGTTAGAACTTGTCCGAGATCTTATCAATTCCAATGATCATACCAAGTTTCATTAGAATCGGTTGGAAACTGTAGCTTCAATCCTGCTCACGAACTATTTTTAACAAATTTCGACGCGTTTTAACAAAGTCAAGGGCAATAACTCAAAAACCATTCATCGAAAATTCTTCGAGTTAGAATTTGTCCGAGATCTTATCAATTCCAATGATCACACCAAGTTTCATCAGAATCGGTTGAGAACTGTAGCTTCAATCCAGCTCACGAACTATTTTTTAACAAATTTCGAAGCGTTTTAACAAAGTCAAGGGCAATAACTCAAAATCCATTCATCGCAAATGCGTCAAGTTAGAACTTGTCCGATATCTTATCAATTCCAATGATTATGCCAAGTTTCATCAGAATCGGATGAAAACTGTAGCTTCAATCCTGCTCACGAACTATTTTTAACAAATTCCGACGCGTTTTAACAAAGTCAAGGTCAATAACTCAAAAACCGTTCATCGAAAATGCGTCAAGTTAGAACTTGTCCGAGATCTTATCAATTCCAATGATCACACCAAGTTTCATCAGAATCGGTTGAAAACTGTAGCTTCAATCCTGCTCACGAACTATTTTTAACAAATTTCGACGCGTTTTAACAAAGTCAAGGTCAATAACTCAAAAACCGTTCATCGAAAATGCGTCAAGTTAGAACTTGTCCGAGATCTTATCAATTCCAATGATCACACCAAGTTTTACCAGAATCGGTTGAAAACTGTAGCTTCAATCCTGCTCACGAACAATTTTTAACAAATTTCAAGGCGTTCTAAGTCAATGGCAATATCTCAAAAACCGTTCATCGAAAATATGCCAAATTCGAACTTGACTAAGATCTTATCAATCTAAAGCATCACACCAAATTTTATCAAACTCAAATGAAAACTGTAGTCTCTATTGTGCTGACAAGAAATGTTGACGGACGGACCGACGGACAGGGACGACAACAATATACGACAACATATTCATGTGGGCGTATAAAAATTGAACGGGTTTTCAAGAACAAGGGCAATAACTTGTACTAATTTTTTTCGCTATTTCTGATTCATCCTTGGTAATTAACACTTACACCAGTTTTCGGCAAGTTCGTCAAGAATTGCACTTTCTGATAAGAGTATTTACGAGCAATTGTGGCCGGACAGACGGATATGGATGGCGCCAATACACGACGGAACTTTTAAATACGGACTAAAAAAAAACGGAAAAACTTACATATTAGGAATAATGTCACATTCTGCTGGTGAAACGACTAAATTATATTTCCATGGACAAACGGCCCATTTACAATTCATATATTTCTTACAAATATAATCTGAAGATTGGTAGTGTCTTGTTCCATGCCCTATCTGTGAAATATAAGAAAGTAACAAAACGCTTCAGACCTGCTATAAATAAAATTTTCTAGCTTTTGCAAGAAACTCGTATAATTCAGTCATACATTGAAGATCGAGAAAAATATTTTGGAAACATTAGTCACGTCATCAAACTTTTCGGGCGTTTCATCAATACATATTTCACCAGTCCAATCAAAGCGTAGCATTCATTACCAATTGGTATGTAATTATACTTATCTAGGGCTGTATGTCCATTGATAGATCATGAAAGTCAAAAATCATAAATAAACGTAGTAAATTCATTAATATATCGGAAAAACAAACTACGACAATTTCTTCAAAAATGGACTTATGTATGCATCACACAGAGACAATTATGTGTGAACTCTCTGAAAGAAATATCGAATTAACAAACCAAATCCTAGACAAACATGAAGTATTCAAGAGCAAGATCATGGACAGCTTACAAAGTATTATAACTCTCAAAAAAAATACTGACAAATCGAATCAGATGTTCAAGATTAGTGAGAATGTCCTGCCTCGAACATAGGCCTGCATCCAACACATAACTTCAAAAATTGTACATATATAAAGAAAAATTCTCACCGTCACATATCTGTTTATACTGGAGCAAAAACACATTGTTACTATAAGCGACAATATGAGCAGCCAATAGAAGTACTTCATCGTCATAATTTTATATAACAAAAATATCTAACCATAGGCTACAACCCACAATAGACAATATATTTCGAAAATCTTGTATATCGCCTTTATAAATACTAATAATTTATAAAAAAAAACAAAAAAAAAAAAATCCAACAAAAAAAACGACAGGAATAAAATTCAGCTGGTTTCTCAAGCCAATGATATTCAAGATTGAATGTCTTTTCCAGTTTAATGGATGTGTCACATATTGTTTTTTTTTTAAACATTATATTTGTCGCACCTGATGCTTACAGAAAAAAAAACATTCTTATGGTTAATAACAGCTTTGTTTCAAACTATAAAAAAACAACAAGTGTTTCAACATTTTGATACGCTCCAAACTCTCTAAGACATAGGCCTATAGCCTTCTGTCTGTACCCACGTCCACGTTCAGATATCCTAGTAAATGCTCCGTTAAGCGATTTCGATAAAACTTGGCATAGGCTTACGTGCAACGTTTCCATGTAGACGTATAAAAATTGAATTAGATTCGAAATAAAGCGCTTCCTGAATATTAGGCTAATCCCCTTGATATTAAGAGTTTTCAGTAATTTTTAAGTCTTTATAATTTGTATAAGAATCGGTTTGCCTACACTTGTGGCACGATTCTGATATGGCATTTGACGGTGGTAAGCCATATATGCCTAAATCTAGAAAAACTTGACCAAATATGACATCATCATCGCAAAAACTCGATTTAGGCTACATCGAATGGCATTAATTGTGATAGTGACGTTGGATATTTGGTTATGAATTTTTTATTTGCCTGAACCACAGAAGTCGGACGGGAAATCTGATTTGTGCAAATGAAAGGTATAAGTGTGCCCGATAATTTAATCCATGAGGACATGCACATTGAAAATACTATAGCTGCTTCAGATTTCAACCGAACTTTCAAGACAATATGGTAATGAATGTATGTGTATATATGATCAGCAATGATTGTGCGCATAGCGGCAATTTGGATTTCAAGCCCAATGATCTCTAAAACTGAAAATGAAATAGCTCCATTAATCATCAACTGATATTCATAAAACTTGGTACTATCAACAGTAACTATTAAGTAAGAACTTGACAGTATGCAATGATGTCAAAACAAGACCCCGACACCTACAATATCGATAATGCTTTAACTTGGTAGAAGTTTCTTGTTTACAAATGGCATGTCGAAATTAGCGTATTTGGACTTGGTCTAATATCTTATACTATTTAAATGAACCAATGCAAAAAATAATCGGAAAATAAACTCGGATCTCTTTGACAAAGCATTCCTTAAAATCATCAGCGGATCGTGAAATATGTGCACAATTGCTTCAATTTTACAAAAATAGGAGAAATCATGTACAAAATACGTTCAAAACAAAAAGTAATATATTTGAGGTTGGATCACAATTAAACAAGTTAAAACAACAACTTGATATACAAAGATTAACAAATCACAAAGTCTCAACCAACAGAATATAATAATAATAATGATGATGCTAATAATAATAATAATAATAATAATAATAGTAATCACATTAAAACCATGCCGTAATCACCCAAAGATTTTTTAAAATATGGATGAATTAAAACTGTGCAGGGTTTGGCTTATCGTCGTCCTGATAAAAGCTACTCCATACTGGGCTTGAAGCCCTTTCGTTACCATCACAAAGACAACTATTATTGCTCTCGGTATACAACCACGTTTCATCTGATACATTATCATTCTCTTCACCCCTATTTTTAAGCAACCAATACTCTGATGGCCAAGGACTTTTATAATCAGAAGCTGATGGTCTTAAGATGTTAGATTCAGAATCTATCACAGATTCGAATTCGGTCGTCGAAGTATATGGTGATTTGAACTCCACAGATCCGTCCAAAGAATCTTCTTCCTCTGGGATAGGGCACATTATCCTCTTAAATTTGCTCATATTAAAATATTCATCATAAACTTCATCAGCATCAGTAACAGCAAACGTTTTTGTCTCTAAGGACACCTCTGCTACACAACTATTACGAATTTCTGAGGAATACTGCGTGTTCTTGTCATGTGTATTTGTCACATACGGTAAAGTCATTGGTGTATCGTCCACCGAATAAAAGGATGTAGAACGACTCATCGAATCGTTATCGCGATTTTGGAGAGAAGGTTCTGTTATCGTATTAGGGAAATATTGATTTGTTTCAGTTAGATCCCTTTCTTGAGGCATAGTGTCTTCATCAATTCCTTCATTGGCTGTCGAATCAGTGTTTTGCTTAATGTATTGGGAATATTTTGTACATCTTTCTGTAACGGGAGCTGATTCAATCAACATAGATTCATGTAGTGGATCTGTAAATATTTTATAAGACATATTCCCAGGAAAGATATTATTTGAAACCTTCGGCGGAATCTGGGAAGATTTATCTATTTTCAAATGTGATATATTTTGTTTATTTGGTTCGCCAGTCACGTTGTTCGATTTGTCGAGGTTCAATGGTGAAACTGGCTTGAGATTGGGGGACACAAGGGTTGATAATCGTTTTACTGAACCGACAGTGTGAACTGAAGAGTTATCATCTGGATCAAATAACGGATTAGAATGTGGAGCATTCGAACTTACAGTAATGCTAGTTGACAAAGATATATCGACTGAATTGTTGTCAGCGCTGTAGGCTTTTCTCTCCGTTAAGTCATTAGCAGAGGTATCATTAGAATGAGATGCGAGCTGGTCTGATTTGGCGCATGACTCTCCGTTGCCTTGAACGGCACATACATCTTCAAGTTCATTGAGACTCGAGTGTCTTGATATGGCGACTAAACCTTGGGGGGAACTATTCATCTTACTATCACTGCTTGAAATGATTGTGGTTTTACTGTTAATAGAAATTTGTTTTGATAGGTTGGCGGAAGTTTCAGGTTTCTTCTCAGATAATCCAGGATTAGTAATAGATGAACAATTTTCTGTTGTCTCAGGGCTAAATGTATAATTCGCATCACTTAAATCTACACTTTCTTTACCTCCATATCTTCCGGTTCCATCCTTTACACTGCTCTGACCTTTTTCAGTAGCAGACAAAAGTGACATGTCATTAGATCCATTATCAGTTGATTTGGTTGTATTTTGTGAATCCTCAGATATGTTTTCTATTGGATTGAAGTATTGACTTTCATCTAAATTAGGCATGGACTTCAGGGAAACATTAGAAATGTCATGTATTTCTTGTTTACCGAAAGAAAGCTCTTGAGCAATCAAGGAAATTTTGTCTCCCTTTTTCGGGGTACTTACAGTCTGAAACTGTGATAATAACTGTGGATCAGCTTTCTTCAGATTTTGAAAGTCTTCCTCAATTTCTTTATCAACCTGTTCACCTACTTTCCGTTCACAGACATCCCAATTATTAGATCGATCGATTCTTTCGTAACCAGATTGACAGTTCGTCTTAGTTTCAGTGGAATTTTTTGCTCCACCAGTCCGAGACAGTGATGATGCAGCACTGTAAATACTATCAGAATGCGACGATGCCAATAAATCGATTTTGGGCTGTGCTGAATCGCCTGACATCAATATTTCAGTTGATGTCTGGTGGGATTTCTTGCTTTTAACATTGCACACCGATGCGGAAGGCGTAATTGTGATAGACTTCAACAAGAAATCCCCAGTTTTTGACTCAAAACTTCTTGAATTCAAACTTCCTTTGGCTTCCTCTGTTCGAGGTGGTGTCATCGGACCACTTATAAATCCATCAGTCTTTAAAGGCGACAATGGAGCTCTGTAAAATTCCACGTTGTCTCTGCGTTGTGGTGAGGGCAATGGTTGAGAAAGAGAAGAGGTTTGATAGGATTTTTCGCTCTCAATACTACCAACCGATGTGGAAGGCGTAATTGTGAAAGATTTCAACAAGAAATCACAATTTATTGGCACAGAATTCAATTTTCCTTTGTCATGTTCTGAAGAAAGAATAGATTTTGCTTCTTCTGTTCGAGGTGGTACCATCGGAGCACTTTTAAATCCACCAGTCTGTGACGGCGACAATGGAGCTCTGCATAATTCCACTTTGTCTGTGCGTTGTGGTGAGAGCAATGATTTAGAAAGTGTTTGATAAGATTCCTCGCTCTTAATACTACCAACCGATGTGGAAGGCGTAATTATGCCAGATTTCAACAAGAAATCACTAGTTATTGGCGCGGAATTAAAACTACCTCTGTCATGTTCTGAAGTAAGGATAGATTTGGCTTCTTCTGTTTGAGGTAGTACCATCGGCACACTGTTAAATCCATCAGTTGGTGACGGTGACAATGGAGCTCTGTATAATTCCACTTCTGTGAGTTTTGGTGATTGTATAGGTTTAGAACGAGAAGAGATTTGGTAGGATTTATTGCTCTCAACACTACCAACTGATGAGGAAGGCGTAATTGTGATAGATTTTATAAAAAAATCGTCCATTGAAATGAATCTTTCTTTGTCACATCCTGAAATATGCATAGATTTTACTTCTTCCATCGGAGACTGTAACATTTTGTCATTTGTATGGCTTGGTATAGTGCTGTTTTCCAAATTAGATTGATTTGAACTCTTCTCATGCTGACCTTTTGAGTAACCAGCAGTATACCCATCGAGCAAATCTGATATGCGAAGATGGTGTTCTCTGCAACATATTGAAAACATTTCGTCATCAATGACCATAGGCATGAAACCATGTTCACATGATACTATATAGTGTCCAATGTTATTCAAAGCCTCAATAAAAACACTTGTTTTGTGTGTATTGCAATATACGGTATCATCTATTTTCTTAAATTCATCACTTAAAATTTCTAATCTTGATGATATTTCTCTTTTCTTAGGATCATCTGATATTGAACCAGAAGCTTCAAACTTGGCACTTGGTGTTTCTGAATCTGTTTGTCTTGCTCGATCATTGACGGTTTCTGAAAATTCTATCGTTTTGACTTGGGCGTTCTGGGCTCTTTCAGAATCAGAATCCGCTACAGCCTTTTTTCCAATTTCAGATTGGTTGTTTTCTTTCGGGTCAACAGCTAAAGGTTTACTTTGTAACATTTTTGGATGTGGTGTGACTTGGTAGACTTTCTTGTTCTCGGCACTTCTATCTGATAATGATGTAATTTTAAATGGTACTGATTTCAATTCGTAATCTCCAGTTGTACACATTTCAATCTCTCCCAGACCTCTGATAGCATTTCCCATAGATTTGGTTGATTTATCAGAAACTTTTATATCTTCTTTCCTAGAATACAATTTTTCAGGTTTCTTCCCAACTGCATCTTCCTTTGAAACGGAAAAATTTAATTGTATGTTAGAATTATCTGTTTTGATACCAGGGCCTTCATTTTGAGAAGAAATATTGGTTCCAGAGGACAAAATAACTCTTGCATGATCTAATAAAGAATTGTTTAAATCTTCAGAAGTTTTTTTTGAATTATCATCTGGTTTATTATCAGTGGTCATGGGTATAGCTTTAACTGCTGGGATTGGGTAGTATAAAGTTTCGCCAAAAGAATGTTTGGAACGCTTATTCTCAATATCGTATTCGCTGTCAGTATCATGTATACTTGTGGTATCTGAATTTGAATCGATGGAGACGTTGTTCATAGCTGTGGAGGGGTCTCTTGCATTCCTAATACTTCCAGTAGTAGTTCCACCAACTGTCAAGGTATTCCTCCTGAAAGCTGATGGAGATTTCTCTTTAGAGGTACATGGAATATGCTTTTTTATACCTTTGATAATGTTATCTAAAGAATTATCGGTGTCTTTCACAACTTTAGGTTTACTGCTCCTTACGTTGGTTGACCCTTTCTTGATGGCCCCCGTGACTCCATCTAAAAGATTATTAATATCATCTTTTAACGAAGATCTAACACCAAATAATGTGTTCCTACTAGTAGAGCTCTGTCCCTTTTTAGCACTTGGATTATTTTCCATGGTTAAAACTGCTTCAGGCAATGTTTGAGTTTCCTTCATTACTTTTGGTACATTTTTAGTCTTTTGAGGGGGCTTTGATTTAACGTTTGTCTTCTGAACATTGACCTCATCATTTGGTCCCTTACAACATAATAGTGCTGATTTTAGCCTTTCAACAACTGATTTCTTGGTACCTGTAATGGAACGAAATCATTCAATATATATCTTTTAAATTAAAGTGAAAATGCAGATGGAAGGCGGATTCACTAACCCAACATAAAAGATAGTGGACCACAGCCATATGGCATGCGGATCGTAAAAACGAAACGTCTATTTTAGGTTTCATCAAAATCAGTTGAAAACTAAGAGAGTAATAGCATATTCAAGATTTTGGAGCAAGGGCAATAACTCTGCTTCTAACGGTCGAAAATAGCTCAAATTCGAACTTGATCTTCGTTTCATGAATATGTATACACATACCAAATTTCATTTGATTCCATCAAAAAAAGTAGTTTTTAGAGCGTTTACACGCAAATGTTGACGGACGGATGGACCGACGAGTGTTTATAAGCAATTGATGTTGACAGAAGCACTTACTGTATAGAGGTTAAAGGGCGATAACTCTTCAAAACTGACGTAAGAGGTATAAATCTTGATAAAGCCTTTAATTTAATCAGAAGTAAACTAAACTTTCTCAAACCTTTCATTTGATTCCATCAAAAAATCTAGTTTTTAGAGCGTTTACAAGCAAATGTTGACGGACGGACGGACCGAGATGACCCATTTTGACAAATGCAGTAGAAACTTGACATAACCAGCAAGTAAATAGCATGGAGATATTGTCAAGATTAGATATCGTTACACTAGCATAAGTATAAACTAAAATAAACATACCGTCTTCTTTAGTTATCTCTTTCAATATTTTAAAGTCTACAGATTTTCGAAACCTACAAATGGATTATTTGAAATAAAGTAGTTGCATTAAGGACTGTCACGACAAGCTGGGAAAGTCATGTCGATGAATTTACCATGGCTCTAAAGTAGTTTAGGATCCAGCTCAGACAAGATACACCCTCACAACATTATAGCATTGCTGAATTATATGATACAATAACAAGCAGCAACATGAAGTATTATTTTGATCACAGAAAATTGCCAGACAGTCAAAGCAGTGAGCCCAGAACGATATCTCAAAAAACATTTAACCTAAGTCACAATGCGTACTCTTCTTTTTGGGGTTCTAATGTCATTTTGCAAAGAACAAGATTTTTGAAACACTAACCAAAACAACAAAATTTGGACATCCAGTACTTGGCAATGACATAGAATAGCCAGGAGCCATCAAAAATATTCAAAAAATACAAGTGAACTATTTTATTAATCAGGACTGTTTTCTCACAATCAGACAAAATAGGTTAAATGGATAAAAACATTACGACAAAAAATGAAAGAAAACATACCTGCAACAAAAATATAGAATCAGTACTTTAGCTGTACCCAAAGTTATTACAAGAAAAACAATACCAATAATATGTGCACTTCGTAAACCAATCTCTTTAAAGAAAAAAACAAATCAGATAACTGTATTTCTTAAAATTTTGATTTGATCTTAAAAGTTTGGTTTTCGAGAATAAGGCCCAGATCAATGTTTTGTTCTAATTACCTTTTGGTGGAATGAACGAGGGAAATGTTGTTGATTTCCTAATTATTCGGTACTCTTCATTCGAATACTTTATCACTAGGGACACGAACTGAATTAGGCCTGCATACTGTCGATTTTACATCCAACAATATTTTGCTGGTAATTCCAATTTTTTTTAAAAATTATGGTGTTTCTAGATTTATGTATATGTTTTACCTTCAGCACAATAGACACCGCCATAACCAGATTTACATATACAAACAAATAGTGAATTGGAAACACCGATATGAGACTGTTCTATACATTGTCCACCATTTAAACATAGATGACTTCGACAGTCATGAGTTGACACTGAAACAGACAGTACTCGTATTTTATCAATGCAATGTTAATGACTTGTCGGATTGGGTATCAACATGAGTAAAAGATGATGAGTGACTCATTGATTCCAACAGCATATGTAGTGACTAACTCACAATAACTGATATGATAAGTGACTCAATTGCATTATAACTGACAAAATATTGTCTCTTCAAGAATACTATTGGCAATACATATACAACGGACAGCTCATTTTACGATGAGTACTCATAAGAATTGTTTGTGATAATTTACACAATGAGTGACGAATGAGGTATTGTCACTCTCACAAACTAAGTATAGGTGATAACAATACACATGGGCATAAAAGTGTATGGGGAGGGAGAGGGGTGAATTTGAATTGTTTTTTGAAGAAATAAGAAAAAACCAAATAAGTTTTCAATCGCCTACGAAATCAGTCAGAGATATTATAAGATGATAAATTGGTAGTAAATCTATATTGAAAATAAAGCCATACATCTAACACGTGCAATAAATCAATTTAAAAAAAATATTTTCCCTCAAAAACATATTTATCACAAATTGCGAGCTATTTGAGAAAAAAATAGCGATCTTACGCAAATGAATGCCGACAACAGGTGTTTTTTTTTGTCCTTTAATTATTTTACAAATAATGTATCTTAAAGGTGCATTATACAAATTTTTTTTTATTAAAAAATACTGTAAAATATACTATTTTTATCTTTCTAAAATTTGTATACTGTTGATCAATCTGAATTTGTATTAATAAGGGGTGTTTAAAAACGGAGAGTATTTATTGTTAAAAAAGTAGTTTTGTCTAGTTTTGGTGTTTGGCATTATAATGGCTCGATTCTTACTCGAAACCTTCAGAAAAAATAGAAGACATATTTCTCCAGAGTTGATGTTTATTTTGCTAAAATTCGGACCTTAGTCTTTCATCACCAACCAAACAAATAGAGCCGTTGAAATGTTTAAGTAAACCTCATAAACTGGTTTTGGCGTTCTAAAATTGACGGCAAAATACTATAGTTAGAACTTTGAGATAAATTAAGAAACACATTTCTCTAGATTTTGGTGCATAGTTTTTAGATATATCGCAGAATTTTTTTTTTGCAGTAAACTAAATCATACCGCCCTCATTAAAATTGTGTATCAATATGGAAGCATGGAGGGGACACGAGAAAAATTAAATATAACTCGTCGCCACGACTTAGTATCTCGTAGCCACGACTTAGCATCTCGTGGCACGACTTAGCATCTCTTGGCCATGGCTTAGCATTTCGTGGCCACGGCTTAGCATTTCGTGGCCACGACTTAGCTATGTCGACTTGCTGCCTCCCATTTTTTATAAATATGTCATATAAATCTTACTTACTGCGAAAAGGGGGTGCTCATAGATTATAACGAAAGGAATGGACTTATAAGGATGTATTTTGATATTGGAATGTCATATAATGATATCGCCATCATTCTGGCTCATAGACACAGTATCATTTTGAGTGTCAGACATATATAAACACGAGATACTTAGTCGTGGCCACGAGATACTATGTCGCGACCACGAGATGCTTAGTCGTGGCCACGATATACAAAGTCGTGGCCACGAGATACAAAATCGTGGCCACGAGGTGCTAAGTCCTGGCCACAAGATACTAAGTCGTGGCCACGAGTTACTAAGTCGTGGCCACGAGATGAGAATTTTTTTTTATTCTGTATTATATGTCCCCTCTATGTTTCCGTACAGAAGAGTGAAACATACTTGTATATGGTAATTTTGACAACAAAGCACACTTATATAATCCTCTATCAGATTCTTTTAAATTGTGTATGATAAGATAAGGACCAGATATCTTAATTCTGTAATATAAAACAAAGAAATAGATGAAATAGAGTTTGCAGAATTTTAATCATGGAACCAATCATGTAAGAGATAACTTACGCAATGATTGCGTGTAAAAATGATCAGGGTATTTTATTGGTATTGTTGCTAACTTTAAGTTAAAGCGTTGGGCAGATTCAAATGAAGCAGTGGGTATAGTATAGCCGTCTTTCATTGTCTATGACCTAAGTACTGGTTAAATAATACTGGCCCGTATGCACCATATAAAATCGAATTAAGAAGAATAGAATTATTTTAAACCTTAAATAGATTTAGTTAAATGTATTGAAAGATAATTCTATTTTTTGTATGCACCAACTAACAATTAACCAAATATATTTATCTGTACAGTAATTGAAATTCTATTTTCCATTCGAAACAAACACTATAAACAATCTATATATGACAAAAGAGTCTAAAGATTGGTCACTAAGACATATTTCTCTATAGACTCTCATCTGGTGTCTTACAGCTTTTATGACAATTATCAACAAGAGTAAGATCAAACGATATCTTTAATTCTTTCTATTCTTCGAAAGAGCAAATGAACGCCATAAAAAATTTGATATGGAATCCATGTCATGCTTCATTTTTGCAGAATATGCCAGTTAAATTCGTCACTTTCAGATCGCCTAACGGATATTTCGGATTGCCTAAACGAACATTTCAATCACGATATATCGTGAATTTCGTTTTCTGCCCAAAAATGGTTGTATATAAAGCTTTAGTTAATGTAAAAGAGTTACTCTGTATTATATTCACTCAACGTGGCCGGTCGACCATTTGAAAAAGAGCTGAGTGAATTAGCAAAAAATCACCAAGATGTTCACAAGGTTCTGCAGCAAGAAAGGAAAATGATTTGGCATTGAATTCCATACATAAAGATTTTAACATGAACTCGCTGACGACAAATCGTGACTCTCTAAAAATATGCCTTAGCAACCTAACCACCAAAGCTGAGTAGAAAGACGCAGATAGAAAACGAGAGGCTCGGAAAACAGGGGGAGGGCAAGAGCCTACAGAACTATAGATAACATCCGTCAGAATATTAAAGATTCCTGCCCTCAGATGTTTGAATATCTACTTGTCTTTAAGTCATATGGAATCAGAGTACAAACAAATTGAGCACGTGAATAGGAAGGAACTTTTACAGATAATGGTTGATAATACGAAGCGGGAAGGGGGTGGTGGAAGAGAATATGACTACAGCAGCAGTTTTTGAACCTGTAATTGTCTGTTTAAATGTACATGTAAATAAATTTTACTAAAAGTGTCGTAAAATTATCGACCGTATTATGGCCATGCCCCTTCTTGCATCTTGCCTTGGAATTACGTCCATCTTCATAATGATATTGTCACACATACAAAAGATCAAAACAATCATTGAGAATTGTAGTCTGTAGCGTGAGCACGAGGTAAATGTGAACGGACGAACCGACGGATGACAGTGACGAAAATTTCAAAAATGAAATTTGTTTTGGTGACCAAGCTTTTAGACTGTTATGTCATATATGGATTTGGTGTAGTGTGTAGTTCGAATAGAAAATACGGCTTTAATTAAAGTACAGAAAAATAAAATTAGTTAAGACAAATTGGTGCATACAAAAATATGGAATTATCTCTAATGAATTCAACGTAATAAATTTAAGGTTTAAAATAATTCTATTCTTCTTCTACGTTATTTGGTGCATACGGGTCATTGTTTATAATTATAGTAAGTAAACATATATGGTGTAATTCTACTTATTATGTTACCTGTCTGTTTGAGTTTTAGAAGTTATAATATTTCTATCCGGTGTTTTCCATATTACATAATTAGAGTGTTCACGGGTTGCTCTGTCACATATCATGGCCGCTGACTGAAACTTTGAAATACTGTCTAATATGGCACCACTTCCTGAAATAAGTCAAGCAAATACATATAAACATATAGTCTAAATGTTAATTATATTCAGGTGAAATTTTCGAAATACGAGTTTGGAAAAAGCAGATCCTTACTATAAAACGGAAAGTAGAGTAATTACATTGCTCAAAGCAAAACTCTGTTGTTCCATGTTGGATGTGGCAAATCAAAACCAGGCGGAAAGTATACAATTCATTATGAACGTCGTCCAAAGTGTGTCAGCATTACTCCCCATTCTCATTCACATATTTAAAAAATATTTCAATAAGTCAATGGCAACCACTAAAAACTGCCCATCGAAAAATCTTGAAATGAACTTCATCCAAGATCTTGATAAAATAAATCATACCAAGTTTCGTCAATTTTTAAAGGGCAGAAGCTATATTTTCGGGAGTAAATCATACCTTGGCCTCCAAAATGTGAAACATATTTCATACGTCAAAGACAATAACTCAAAGATAGCTTGCCAGACAAGGTAACATACTCCCACTGGCAGCTGTCAGAAAACAGTCTTTAGTAACTAAAGTATAAATTTTTCTCATATTAAAGAAATTTTAATAGTTTGAATTCAATGATATATATTTACTGCCAGTTATTTATGCTGAATAATTCCACCAAATTTTTAACAATCAATATCAAAAACTCAAATACATCAAATTATCGCATCAATATAAATGATCACACCATGTTTCATTAAAATCAGTTTCATTAAAACTGTAGTCTCTATTCTGTTCACAAAAAAATTTTGACTTGTGTTTCCTAAGTCAAGGGCAATAATTCAAAAACCTTTCATCGAAAAATCATCAAATTCGCACTTAACCAAGATCGCATCAATATAAATGATCACAGCAAATTTCATTAAAATCAGTTGAAAACTGTACTCTCTATTGTGTTCGCAAACAAATTTTGACGCTTTTTTTTTAAGTCAAGGGCAATAACTCAAAAACCGTTCATCGAAAGATCGTCAAATTCGAACTTGACCAAGATCTCATCAATATAATTGATCACAACAAATTTCATTAAAATCAGTTGAAAACTGTTGTTACTATTGTGTTCACAAGAAATGTTGGCGGACCAACGGACCGATGGACCTGGGTGACGGCAATATACGTCCACATTTCCATGTGGGCGTATAAAAACCGTTTATCGAAAAATCGTCAAATTCAAACTCAACCAAGTTACCATCCTTATAAATGATCACAACAATTTTCATTTAAATCATATGAAAACTATAGTCTCTATAGTCTTTCAGAAACAATTTTTTTTCGCAAGACCTATAGGACTCAACAGGCATAACACCCTATGTTGTCCCGTTCAATACAAACAGTAATCGAGCAAGTAAGATAGTTCATGCCCACAGAAATGCCTTCAACAGAAATTCCCCCATATCTATAAGAAGAAAATGATAGTTCAGCATATTCAAATAATCAGAACTTTAATGACAATCTTGTTCATGGCAAACTAAAAACAATCAGTACATAACAAGCACTATCCTTCTCGAGTTTCAATTTATCTAATTTTAGATCAGAACAGACGAAAACCCAGAATCCGGACCCTGGAACTAAATGATAACACCGAATTTCATTAAAATCGGATAAAAACTGTAATCTCTATTGTGTTCACAAGCCAATTGTGGACGGACGGACAGGTGGACAGGGGAGACGACAATAAACGACCACATTATAATGTGGGCGTATAAAATTGTAAAAATCAAGCTCTAATCTGAGATTTCAAATATACATAATTGGATCAAAACTCTAGTTTCTACAAGCACGGAAGGACCTGGCCGTGACATATTTGTGTACATCATAATGAGGGCGAATTAAAATATGTTTACTGAATTGCTGATTGTCATTTTCATAAACTTTCAATTTATAATACGAACCACCACTGCATGATGAATGAACACATAATCTATGTTCATAAGAACTTCCTTCACATGATGGTAAAGAGGTTATTGATGTGGCTTGTAATTTACAGTCTCGTAATCTTTCTTGAAACCCAGTACCACATGAAACACTGCAACCAGACCAGGAACTCCATTCTGTCCAGTAGTTCAACTTCTGACAACGATGAGAATTACAGGACTGTACTTTAATAAAGTTTCCTGAGCATTTTGCTGTTGGAACTTGAGAGACACATATACGAGTTTTAGTTCTATATCCTTTATCACAAGAAGATGAACATGGTCCCCAACTACTCCACTTCATCCAATTAGCTACAAATATAAGCAAATAGTATACACACAAAAAAGAAGTATGAAATCAAATACTTCTCACATTTAAAGTGTTAAATGCTATATGTTTTTTTTTTGCACATTAACAATGTGGCCACAGAAGGGGCTTGTAACAGGGTACAGAACATATTTACATGATGTTTTCCTTTTTGTAAATGATCTCACTCGTCTCGATCGGACAAAAAAAGTAATGTGGCACATGGTCGCATTAAGTTCATTTGTCGATTACAAGTATGTGAACTGTACAAACAGGCTATTTTGTCAGTTCGTTTTTATACACCCACGTATATATTTGTTGCCCCTGCTGTCTGTCTGTCCACAATTGTTGTAGAGACGATAGAGAGCTGGTTTCTTGATGGATTTTGACAAAATTTGTTGTGATGAACCCTATTGAAAATCAGACAAATCGCAAAATATTTAACGAGTTAAGGCCCTTGTTCTTGGAAATTTGTTGTAGACCCGATAGAGAGTTAACCAACTTGATGGATTTTGATGAAATTTGGTATGAACATTTGTTATCACTTAAAGATGGCTTCCCTTATTTTCATTTATGAAAATGGAAATGCTAATAGTTATATGAATAGAAAGTAGAGATGTTCTAATGATTTGGAAAAATACCAGTTTGTCTCACATGTCCATAATTAATTCATAATAAGCTAAATTAGAAGAGAATTAACAGCAGAATTACAGTGAGTGACCGATCAAGAAAGGTCAAATAGTCTTTTTTTTGTTTATCCAGACTGTACATACATGGACATTTATGATTGGTTAAAACTCTTAATTATATGCAGTAAGAACGGTTTGTTCCCACTTTCCCGGCAGATTATCCGAATTAAATTTTTCTAATCCGGATTAGTTGGGTTATACGGATTAGGGCAGATAAAATTCTACTAATGAGCTGATAAAAACCATCTGTTCATCTAACTTAAAGTGAATATTAGTGATACAAGTTCACGTGTCAAAATCATCCTCCAACAGAAGGCTGAGATCCGCAACCTGCACCTTAGACCAAGAACCATTTTCACTGACTTCGAGAAAGCTGTTCAGAATGCCGTAGAACATGTTTTTGACTGTGAACTGAAAGGATGTCTCTTTCACTGTCGACAGGCAGTTTGGCGCAATGTCTTTGCAAACAACCCAGATGTGAACTTATTCGTGAGGAGAGCATCTGCTCTACCTCTACTTAGACCTGAACATATCGAAGATTACTGGTTCAATGTCCTAGAAGCCGCTAACATGGAAGATTCCTCAATTGCAAAGTTTGCTGACTATGTGATCGAACAGTGGGTGGAAGGAGAAGATCTACATATGTGGAACCATTTTCACACTGTAGGTCCGCGAACCACGAATCATGTTGAGGGGTGGCATGCTAGAATGAACAAGATGACCACCAACTATCCTTCAGATTCATCACCCTGATAAAAGCTGAGCAAGCAATTACCAGCTCTAGTCTGGTGGTAAGAAACGCCCCAAGAAGAGACAGTATCGCCAATTGGAGCATGAACTGGACCGCCTGAAAGTCTGTCTTCAGAATAACAGCAAGACAATGATGGAATATGGAGATGCCGTCTCCCATCTTGTAGGCTTGTAAAATTAATAAAATGAGCTCATTAGTAGAATTTTATCTGCCCTAATCCGACTAATCCGTATAACTCAACTAATCCGGATTAGAAAAATTTAATCCGGATAATCTGTCGGGAAAGTTGGAACACCCCGTAAGAACATAATGATATGATTAAGAATACAATATGATAATTCATTACAAACACCAATTAATCAAATATTTTGCTTAATTTGGCACTATAAAATAAGAAAACCCATCTTTAAGGATCAACCCTATATTTAAAATCAGACAAATCGAAAAATATTTGGTATGAGTCATTGCCCTTGTTCTTGAAAACGCGTTCAATTTTTTATTTAAAAATGTGTTTTGGACACAAAAGAGCTGGTTTCTGGTGGATTTTGATAAAATTTGTTGTGCATGTTTGTTATCACGCAAGGATGAACCCTATTAAAAATCAGACAAATTCAAAAATATTTTATATGAGCTGTTACCCTTGATTTTGAAAACATGTTAAGTCTTTGGTCATAAATAGTCTAGAAGGCACAATTCTCGACAGATTTGGACGAAACTTCGTGAAATTGTTTATCATTACCCAAGGATAAATCCAAATGAAAATAAAAAACAAGTCAACCTCCCGGTCAACTTGGCTTCCACTGCAATTGTGAGCGTATCAAGATGGCTATCGCTATTTTAAACGGTATCTTTAATTGCTTAAAAGATAGTGACAGTCCACTGAAAAACGATTTTAAAATTAGGTGGCGTGTTGAAACATCGGGATCTGCATTTCAATCAACTTTGAAACAAAAGGTAGCTTAACAACCAGGATCAAATCTGCAACATATTCGTTAACATTTTATCTGGTTGTTTCTCTTGAAATTATACTTACCTCGACACGGCTTATGTTCACTACATTCTTTAACATCCCATAGACTTCCTACACATTTATTAGTTGTACAGCTTCTTTTTCTGAGTTGAAAGCCCCCTTCCCCACATTCCACAGAACAATTACCCCACGACTCCCAATTAGTCAATTCTCCTATTCTCTCATTAGCATTTAACCTATGACTGCACGACTTGTTCAAAGAATCCACTATAACTGTAAACGTTGCATCATGTACTTGTTTTTGAAGTTTATTGCTATATTTGGATTCGACTTGAGTTTTTTCGGCCAAAATGCGATAAATGTTGCCTTCAATAGATGATAAAGCAGATTCTATTTGCTCGTCTATTTTCGGACTTGCAGCTTTGCAGCTTAAGCGATCTTTTAGGCTGGAAGCATCTTCATGAATTCGCTTATGGAAATAAAGATTTTCGTGTTGTTTGAGTTCTTCTGCATTTGCATTGATAATATGGTGTGAATTTAGAGGTATAAGAATTTCTGGTTGACTAAACATATCTTCTCTTATACCGTAATGGTATTTGGGGTAGAATTTATTTGGATATAAACGATTACGGGTCATAACATTAATAATTTCATTTGCTGGTACCTTCTTCATTTCATCATTTTGCAATCGTCTCGCATTGTGATCCCCATCCCTCTTTATTCCAAAATTTTCTGTTTCAACCAGTTTTCTGTTAATGGACGGGTATCGAACATTACCAAATATTTTCTTTCGCTGAACTACTTCAATCAGTTCTTTACCATTTTCCACATCATTCCCAACTGAAGAATCTATTTCTGGTGCCACAGGAATTGACACTTTTTGCCTAACACTGGAAACTTGTGTTCCAAATTTCTTAGAATGAAGCTTTCCTTTTTCCTTTAAATCTGCATCCTTTTTTTTCATCTTTTGGGTATTTGCATTTCTCTCTTTCAGTTCTTTTACCTCTTCATCTAAATCTTTTACTTTAGAAACTATTTTCGCCTTCAATTCCTTGTCTTTTTCTCGAGTTTTTTCATCATTACTAATATTTTGAATCATCAATTCCTTTTTCATATCATTTACTTTCTTGTCATCGAACATTTCTTTCTGTTTTAGTTTCTGATCTTTTTCTTTCAATTGTTTCTGTGTATTTCTAATGTAATTGTTCATCATATTATATCTTAATTTACTCTTCAAAGCATCCTGTTGTTTCCTCCGATGGAAAACCTCTTGCAATTTGCGAAGCTGATGCTTTGAAACCTTGATATACTCTCCATGCCAGGATGTCCTATTGTTATTTAAGGTGCCATGATAAATAACACCCATATTTGTTGAGTTTAGATTAGAAGGATTATCGATATGTCGCACAATGGTTTGTCCAATTGGTATCTTATCAATTCTTGAATCGATGTAGGTATTTTTATAATCCGAAGGAATATCGACGATTTCTTTCCTAAAATCAAGCGTTGACACTGGGGTGTTTCCTGGTGTGTTTTTACTCAAGACACCATTTCCTTCTTTATCATGCGTGTTTGTAAGTGACTCTTGTTTCTTTTTTTCGTTTCCATCAACGATATCGTGAATATCACCATGTGTCGTTGTAATTAGACTTTCATTCCTGTCATTATGGTTGATGCCTTTAAACATTTTTAAGCCTTTTGGTAGATTTCCTAATAGATGTTTTGTTCTGTGTGGTCGTTTATATTTTGGTCGTGCTCGTTTGGATTTTGGCTTGAAACTATCAACAAGTAAAACAGGAGGGCGAGGAATCAGGTTAAAGTCCTTATCGTCTGCGGCCTCTTTAATATCCAATTCTTGTGATTCAGGTGAAAGCAGGGCATCTAAATTTTTGATCAGATTTTCTGTAATTTTCTTCGACTTTTTTAAGTCGATATTTTTTATATTTTTTCTATTTTGGCGTGTAATTGAGGTTGAATTTGTCTCGAATCCTGAAGAATTATTATCTAAGCTCTTGTGTTTCAATATTGTGTCGATTGTTTCTGCATCTCGTTTATCATTTTCATTACTATCTGTGGAATTATTAGTTTTACTCAGTTCAGAAATTGGAATTATATCTATAAAATAATGAATATCCACGTTGTCATTTTCGTACTTGCTTTTTTTTGATATTTTATTTCCATCTTGATTCTCACCATGAGCAGGAAGCTTATTACCGTTGCCTTTGTTGTGTCGGTTTTTGCCTGTTTTTGTTAGGTTCATGATACCATTTTTTGTGCTATCATGAAGCTCGCTTTCATTGCTGTAATTTATGCTGCGATTTATTACTATTTTTATGTGATTTACATCTTCGTTTTTTTCGTTACCTCGAAGTTCATTACCTTTAGGAACTTTAGGACCGTCTTTTTTGTTGCGAATTTCTTGTCCTCTTTCATGATTAGGCATAGCTGGTTTTGTGTCACCACGAACTAAAAGCTTGTTTTCTGAATGCAGCTTATCGTTTTTTTTAAGGCGGTTGTCTTCAGTGTTAATATGCTGTACGTTTCCGCGACTATCACGAAGCTTGCTATCTTTACGAACTTTATTGTCAACTTTTTCTGTTTTATCGCTATTTACACTTCCATCTTTTGAGTCATTTACGTGTTCGACTTTTTTGTCATCCCGAATTTTATCTTTTTTATTATGTACTTTATTATCTTCTTTTTTGTATTGATTTTTTTCCTTAATTTTATGGTTTTCATATTTTCTGTCACCAAGAATACGAAGCACTTTTTCTGTAAGATCGTCGTCTTTTTTCTGTGGTCTTTCCTGCCGATTCTCATAATTTTCATTTCTATCATTTGTGCTGCCATGAATACGAAGTTTGCGTTCTGAAAGTATAAAATAACTACAAATCGTAACAGTTGATGGAGTGGGGATTTGACAAATTTGGACTAATAAAAGCGCGCAACATCATGCAATATGCAATAAGGGATATCTTGCCAGGAAAGTGGCATGAAGTCTTCTTTTTTAGACTTCCGATTGTCGTGAGTTCTTTAATGAGCAAAATCTGTGTCAAATAGGGCCTTGGATAATTGTCACATCAAACCGACTGATGCTTATTTTAGTCGAAAAATCGGAAGGTACCTATACATGTATATATCTCGACATATTCCTTGATTAAATTCTGGACTGCTGGTCAGCAAGCAAGTATCCGAGACTTTTTGTCTAGATCCCCGCTTTCTAAGCCACGAGAATTGATACTCGTACAACTTTAATACACTAATCATAATCACACATCAGGAATTCGGATTTTACTCTAGATGAGTAAATATGCAGTCAAGATTATTTTTATGCTACAGGCGATCATAGTGATTGTTCTATCTGTACTCATTGATCAATGTGGGTTGCTGACAGTTGACTATTTCTATCGTAATGGAGAATTTATTATGCGAATTCTAAAGTGCGTTCATACCTTTAATATATTTCAGTTTAATTTCTAGATGTCTAGCAATATTCCTCTCTGTTACTACCACAACAAACTTTCTATCTCCTTTAGGGTGTAAATACTTTTCTGGCACCGTACACTTTAAACGATCTCTAAAAAAAGTCAACAGCGATTGTTTTTTGTTTTAATCGAATGTAAAATGAAACGTATATGTAAATTTCAATATGAATTGTTCCATAATGTTCTTCACACACGGATTTATTAGTCGTTTTCAAATAATGTACAGTGAATTTCGAAAGTACTGTCTATAGATCCACCCAAAACACAGTATACTTGCAAGATAATTGTATAATTAAAAGGGTGCGGTACTGTTGTCTCCGACCAAGACCATTTGTGTGCGCACCTTAAAGAGTTTACAACCCCTTTAATTCCGACATACCTGCACTGGCGTATAGCTATGTGAGAAGATTTAGCTATCATATACCATATTGTATTATATCGATGAATTCGTTCTCCATTACAATCTATACCAACTAGTATTAGAACAACATTTCCATCTTCAGTGTAAACTCCTTTACCACATACTGGTGTATCAATCCAAAACCTCTTACATTCAACAGTTACTTGACCTAAAATATCGGATAGCAAAAAGTAGAAATTTCATTTTATATTCATTGAGCTCAAATTTGTACCAGACTCTCTTTAGAAGTTTTAAAGATAGCTTGCCAGGCAGGATAACATACGCCCACTATCACTAGAAATGATAAAAAAAGTCTGTAGTAGTTTAATATGTGAAACCAATCATCCTATTTATACTAATTTCAACCTTTACTTATGTCTCATACCAAGTTTCATCAAGATCGGATAAAAAATGTAGTCTCTTTCAGGCCTACAAGCCAAATGAGACGCATTGAATTAATCCAAGGGCAATAACTAAAAAACCATTCATCCAATTATTCCAATTTTTGAACTTGAGATCTCATCAATTTATACATGCATACCAAGTTTCATCGAGATCAGATAAAAACTGCACCCTATATCATGACTACAAGTCAAATCTGAAGCGTTTTTACTAAGTCAAGGGCAATAACTTTGAAACCTCTCATCCGATTATTACTAATTTCGAACTTGATCAAGATCGCATTCACATATAAACATGCATACTAAGAACGGATAAAAATTGTAGCCTTTATAGTGCATACAAGCCAAATTTAACGCGTTTTTATTAATTCAAGGGCGATTACTGTGAAACCCTTTATCCGATTATTACCAATTTCGAACTTGACCGAGATCTCAATAATATATACATTTGCATACTAAGTTTCATCAAGATTAGATAAAAATTGCAGCCTTTATCGTGCATACAAGATTACAGGCCAAATTTAACGCGTTTTTACTAAGTCAAGGGCAATAACTCTGAAACCGTTCATCCGAGGATTTACCGATTTCAAACATGACTGAGATCTCATCAATATATACATGCATACCAAGTTTCATCAAGATCAGATTAAGCTGTAGCCTCTATCGTGCTTACAAGAAATGTGGACGGACGGACGGACGGATGGACCGGGGCGAAGGCAATATACGTCCACATTTCCATGTGGGCGTATAAAAAATTGATCAAAATCTATCTATATATCCATTACTAATGCTAATGATTAAGGCTCAGGATTGGATATCCAATTTCGCTTTAAGTTTAACTAACTTCTTGTTAGCATCAACTACCTAGATCTACCGGTTTGTTATTTATGTCCAATACTTACAATGTAGGCCTTTTGATTCATTTGATGGATCTAGAGAATAATTTCCGTAAACATTAGATAATAACAGAGTACTAGTACTGGTAACAACAAATACCAACAGTAGATTCGACATGATTAGGACGCCGGATGTCAGCTGGGAGACAAACTGATCAGGACGCCGGACGTGAGCTGGAAAACAAACTATAACGTATGTGATGTAATTCTATATCTATTATCGGGAACTGGTAGGTCTAGTGAAGTTATGATATGTGCCTCTAATGACGATCGGCCCAGAACTAAGTAGATTTAAACTAAACCAAACATAGTTTAAATCAAATTGAAAATGGACCTAAGCAAAACTAAACAATACTGATGTCCAGTCCAATGATGTAAATCTGTCTGTTCTTGTCGTTGATCTAAATCTTCTTAGTGAATGGTGTGTTTCGACACTCTGCAAACAGACAATAGTTGACTAGACCTATATATCTTAGTAGATTGTTGATACCATAACAAATCGTTCATAAAATATTCAGGAAAACAAAATGGTGGATGTTTACGTCAGTGACGTCACAAATTTTGTCTAGCTTGTCTTTCCCGAAACGAAACTCCACCTTATTAATGGCGTTTTGTTATACATTACAAGAAAAGTATCAAATTTAGGAATTTGTCGACGATCAAGACAAATCAAGGACCACTGGTCAATGATCTTTAACAGAGCCGTATTCCTTTATCAAATGTAGCCTAGCTTTTTCCCTTTGATCGCACTTAACACAGGCGTCCGAAGAGCACACTTCGGCTAGAATTTTGTCTATTATTTGAGGTAGTTCTACAAGACCCGTCAACCTGTCGCGGATGGCCCGTCGTCCGTCGCAGAAGGTCCGTCGTCCGTCGCCCGTCGAGGCTACCTTACAAACAGGTAATTAAGACTTATACATAGCGAAAAACGAATATTTGTTTATTTTTAACAGAACATCAATAAAAAGGCAGAATTCTTGTAGTACAATAGCAAAATATGCATATTATGACTTGAAGACCCGTCGCACGTCGAGGAATATTATCATAATATCCGTCGCCCGTCGAGGAATGTTATCATAATATCCGTCGCCCGTCGTACAATTTTAAAACTGACCCTTCGCCAAAACTCAAACAAAGCATAAATGATTCAGTTTTAGATTATCATGTAGATATTTATTTCATGATTAGAATATTTCATAGGTTTAGGAAAGTTTAACCTTTTGCAATTTTATTTGTTTGCATTTGCGTTTTCTTTTCATCGGCTGCGAACATATTATAGCTCCACGACCCGTCAACCGTCGCCCGTCGAGGAATATCATGTCTGCCGCCCGTCGAGGCTACCGTACAATTTTATAACTGACCCGCCGCCAAAACTCGTGAAATAGAAACAAAGCGTAAATGATGTAGATTTAGATTTTCATTTAGATATTTATTTCATGATTAGATTATTAAATAGGTTTAGGAAAGTTTAATGATTTACAATTTTATTTTTTTGTATTTGCGTTTTCTTCTCATTGGCTGCGTGCATATTATGGCTTGAAGACCCGTCGCCCGTCGAGGAATATCATTATAACGTCCGTCCCCCGTCGACAAAGCATAAATGATTCAGTTTTAGATTTTCATTTAGATATTTATTTCATGATTAAAATATTTAATAGGTTTAGGAAACTTTAACCATTTACAATTTTATTTGTTTGCATTTGCGTTTTCTTTTCATTGGCTGCGTACATATTATGACTCTACGGCCCGTCGATCCGTCGCCCGTCGAGGAATATCATTATAATGTCCGTCGCCCGTCGAGGCTACCGTACAATTTTATAACTGACCCGTCGCCAAAACTCGTGAGATAGAAACAATGCGTAAAAGATGCAGTTTTAGATTTTCATTTAGACATTTATTTCATGATTAGATTTAGGTTTAACCATTTACAATTTTATTTGTTTGTATTTGCGCTTTCTTTTCATTGGCTGCGTACATATTATGGCTCCACGGCCCGTCGACCCGTCGCCCGTCCAGGAATAACATTATAATGTCCGTCGCCCGTCGAGGCTACTGTACAATTTTATAACTGACCCGTTATTTGTTTGCATTTGAGTTTTCTTTTCATTGACTGCGTACATATTATGGCTTGTCCGTCGAGGAATGTCATCTTAATATCCGCCGCCCGTCGTGGCTACTGTACAATTTTATAACTGACCCGTCGCCAAAAATTTGTGAAATAGAGAACAAAGCATCAATAATTCAGTTATAGATTTTTATTTCACAACAATATTTCCCAGGTTTTAACTGTCCTGTAGATGTGTGCCATAGCTGCACAACCCGTTGACCGTCGGGAAAAGGACCAAAACCCCACTTCAGCCCACGAGCCCCTACTCATCTACAGTTGAGCCATTGCATAACAGTTATGCCATAAACAGTCGGGCAGTGCTCAACCAGCATTTGGCGACAGGCGACGAAATCTAGTTACTCGCTACGATGTTTTAAAATGTCTGTTGCTCGTCGATAATCCCTTTTTCAACCACATATCGTCGTCGTAACCCTCAAGATTTGGATAAAAACCACAGCCTGTACGTTTTACTAATTCAAGGACAATAACTCCAAAACCATTCTTTTGATTGTTACCAATATCATGCCAAGTTTCATTATCATCAAATAAAAACTGCAGCCTTTATCAACTCAAAATTGAAGCGTTTTTACCCAGTCAAGGGCAATAACTCCAAAACCGCTCATCCGATTGTCACCAAATTCGAACTTGATCAGGATCCTGAAGATCGGATGCTAACTATATAGCCTTTATCGATCTATAAGCCAAATTTGGCACGTTTTACTGAGTCAAGGACAATAACTCCAAAACAGTTCATCTGATTGTTACCAAATTTGAACTTGCATGTATACTAAGTTTCATCAAGATTGAATAAAAACTCCTTTGTGTCTACAAGAAGGGTGAAGGCAATATACGTCCACAATTCCATGTGAGCCATATCTGAAACCATATTACTCTATGAACACCCTTCCACTCTTAAAATGTAGATTTTATCCAATAGCCACGACAAAGAGCTAAAGAAATTTACCAGTTTTATAGTTGAAAAAACAATAACTTATAGTTATATTAGTATATATGTAATTTATGTTAAATGTGAGGTTATTTTATCTGATGTGTCATTTGAGTACGGTTTACAACTCCATAATCCGAATATTTCATAAGTATTATTCTATAAACATTTTCATTAGTTGGAAATAGTGTATATTTAATTTCTATTTGAAATATTTTGAAGTATATTATTAACAGATTGAATTTGATTAAAGTTATAACTGTGTTAGCACCTTATTTGTATCAATTATTCTATGTCTCATTGCGAGTTTTGCTTTGAAGAAATAGATTATTAGTGTGTATGTCATATCTGGACAGGAAATGTCTGCACCCCCCTTTGGCTCCGCCACTGATATTAATAATTACACCTAAATAATAGTTTTGAAGCTACCCGATGTAAAATTCCAGAATAACACAAATATACACAAATACCATAAATCTATGTTAAAAAATCTGAAATGCCCATAGAATAGAGGCCTAAATTAAATATATCATAATATCATTGAATCGGCGCAATAATATGTAACAAGGTATCCGAAGCGTGATGCGACACAATCAGGTGTGACGATATATTTCGTTTTCTATGATTTTTGTTTACATGCTTTGAAATGTACGGTAGCCTCGACAGGCGACGGATGTTTACATGGTGGCGACGGGCCGACGGGTCTTGAAGAAACAATTGTGTTATTTTACCTTTTCTCTGAAGTTATGGTGGTCTTTAATGAAAGATTGACGTTTGCTGTCTTCTCATATCGTAGTTCAGGTCATGACCATGGACAGTAACTTTTACTACGCAAATACCGTTTACGAATTTAACTAGGACTACTCCTACTCATATCGCCCCTTTCCATTTTGCACATTTTCTATATCACCCTTCCCCTATTCGCCCTTTCCCAGATTCGCTATTAAGGTCCCTTACCACTTCACTCCTGAAACCCTTTTCTCCTCTTCCCACTTCGCCCATTTTTAATATTAGGCCACTCAAGAAATGATGCTTCTTCCGAGTTCGAATTCTTATCGTTCTTCGTGAAGTCACAGTCTGGGATCCTGCATGCCTTGTCAGTTGTATGGTAAGGGGATGACATTGCAAAATGAATAGTCTTGCGGGTGAGACATTAAACCAGGGTCCCGAGTGCATTAGCTTAAAACGGAGAGGGGAGAAATTGCAAAGGAAGGAGCTACTTCAGAAGAAGCAAATCGGAAATGTAGGTCGAATTAAGGAAGGGGCGAACTGTGAAGGGAAAAATCAGTAATAAGGGGCAAATGGAAAAAGGGGCGATATCGATTAGGGTCTTCATTGTAATCTAATGCTATTTATACTAAGGTCGGGTAGCAGCCAATCAAGCGTCATTCTCTCGACAATCAGAATTACTTTTATAAAGTATCGACAGTAGGCCTATCATAATTTCAGAAATCTTATCGCTTTACTTTGGGTTTCGCTATCCCACAAATACAATTATTCATAGTCGACATTTAGACACGGTATAAATTGTTTTATATTACAATGGAGACTGAAAAAATAAATGAAATAAATATGAAAACGAATTTGTGATCTAATTTTTAATAAGAAGGAACGTGATTGGAAGGTCGAAATAGGAAATTATCGAACGGCTTTTAAAGCCACTAAGAAAAGATAAAAATAGAGATTACAAATAAATTAATTCATAGATAAAATCAAATAAGTGATATAGGCTCTTTTCTAATGATAAAATATGAATCATTCTTTATTGTCGGCGTCATTGCCGATGTAATCAAATTCTTCATTTTTGGTTAAAACAATGTTCTGCTCTTTATTATTTTGTGGTCTATTCATGGATCGATCTTTATGAGACAGATCGTCGACGGGGAATTTCACCATAACGATTTTGTGATCTTTTCTTCCTACGACTTTTTCTTGATTTTTGGAAGTTGTCATATTTTTAAGTTCGTCTAATAAGATGTGGTATATACCAAAAAGATCGGTCGATTTCATCTCTGATTTGAAGTCTTCGTTGAAAGCCGAATCATGCTTTGCGGATGGTATAATGGTTCTTGAGAGTATTTTGTTATCAGATCCGATTTTATTTCTGACAACCCTTCTAGAAACACCATTTAAACCACGGTTAGAATTACTTGCAACATCTTTGTTTGAAACAATTCTATTTGCACCAAGTACACCACTTGCACCTTTGTTAAAAACATTTGTGTCAGAAAAACCGATAGCACCTTTTTTTAAAACAATTCTATTTGTGTCGTGAGCACTACTAGAACCTTTGTCGTAAACATCTGTGTCAGAATCACCACTATAATCTTTGTTAGGATCAGTTCTATTTGCTGTTTTGTTAAAAACATTTCTATTTGTGTCAGAAACACTAGTAGTGCCTCTGTTAGAAATAGTTCTATTTGTGTCAGGGACTCCACTAGAACCTTTATTAGAAACAGTTCTATTTGTGTCAGAAACACCACTAGCACCTTTGCTAGAAACAGTAGTGTTAGAAACATCACTAGTGCCTTTGTTAGAAACCGTTCTATTTGTGTCCGAAACACCACTAGCACCTTTGCTAGAAACAGTAGTGTCAGAAACACCACTAAAACCTTTATTAGAAACAGTTCTATTTGTGTCAGAAACACCACTAGCACCTTTGCTAGAAACAGTAGTGTTAGAAACATCACTAGTGCCTTTGTTAGAAACCGTTCTATTTGTGTCAGAAACACCACTAACACCTTTGCTAGAAACAGTAGTGTCAGAAACACCACTAAAACCTTTATTAGAAACAGTTCTATTTGTGTCAGAAACACCACTAGAACCTTTGTTAGAAACAGCAGTGTCCGAAACATCATTTGAGCTTTCCAAAGGGATAAATATGGTCGGCTTTGGGGAAATTTTTGGGATAGGCTTTTCATTAGCTGGTGTTTTTCTGACCAACGATGAGCTAGCAGTCTGATTCTGCATCAGTCTAATCTCATTGAATCTTTTAGACATTTTAGCCGCATTTTGCTTACGCATGTTGCTATATGTTTCTCTTACTTTAGCAATATAATTTATGTACCGCTCACGCGTCTTTATCTGTACTGGTGTCAGAGAATTATATTCTCGACGGTATTTTTCCATCTGAGTTTCATATATTCTCTTTACCCGATTTAATGAGTTCAATATTCTCTTCTCTTGTTCTTGAAACTGTTTTATAAGTGGATCGTTGACTTTTGGTCCACTTTTTTCGGCGTAAGGTTTCTGAGTTGGTTTCGTTTGCTTCTGCTGTGGGGTATCAGGATCGTCAAGAATGTTGTGGGATATTTTTTTTGGTATAGACTGTTGCTTTAGATCCTGTCCATTATTTAAAGCTGAAAATACCAGAATCTTGATAATTAATTACATTGAAAAAAAGAGCTTTTGCTGTAGTCCTTCCTGATTCCATTCCAGTTCGTTTTGAAGAAGTCATGTCATGCAGTGTGTTATTAATTAATATCTGCCAGCAGATTTTCTACCATGGGTCGTTTAAGTGTACAGTAGCACTTCCGGGGTCTGGTTTATTTTGCCAAGACACAATTTTCATCCCAGAGCCTACAGCACGGCAAACGTATTATCTCGATGGGATGGAGCCCAGCACTTTATTAATTAAGAAACTGGTAAAAAAAACCTACAACTCATAATCTACAAATTTTAATTAGGTCCAGTTGTAGGGATCCTAAAAAGCTTGACTTATTCACAGTGTTGAAGTTCAGCTAAATGGTCAAGATCTATTAAGACTATAATATAGTTTATTCAGAAGATAAATATAGCTCACCTGAGTTTTCTAGTAGAATAATAGAAACTAAGACGAAAATCACATGTTGTTTTCTTAGGGCGGCCATGTTATCTGTGACGTTATGAAAAAAACCTTGTCAACGTCAAAACAAAGATGAGGCCTACACTTGTGATGGTAGGGCCTTTTTCGTTGTAGCCGAAATACACCTTGTCAAAAATCTGTTAAAAATTGTGACTTCTAGAGTGTTTACAACCAATTGTGGACGGACCGACGAACTTTGGACAAAGTCGGACATGCATGGCACCATTATTAAGCTTCACATCTAATTAGGACATTAGAAGGCTGTTCGGTGACATTTGCCAATATGATTTAAAGCGAATTACTGTCATATTTCTATCACAGGGACATGATATTTTACTATGAGAATAAGAACGATGGGCAACAATGTTTTTTTTTTTGAAAAATTCACAAAATGTTCCGAAAAAAATTTCGGATAAACAAATAATAGACAGAAACATTTCTGAAAACTTAACTTATTCCCTTAACGATGGCCACCATAGTAAAGTGATTGTTTATAAAAAAAATGATGACGCAGCAATGCTGAATATTCAATACGGTCGAGACCTTTATAGTAATTTGCACTTATCATTTCACTACAAACATTTTCCAAGTTTGTATTTATCAAATATTGTGGAATCTTCAGAAAGTTACAATTAAAGTTCGGTGTAATACAGTCAACAACGTGACACAAGGTTGTAACCGTCTTACCTTCTATGTAAATCACTGTAAAAAAGTTATTTAAAATACACAACGTGAAGTCCTACATTCAAGTCAGTCTTGTGTAAGCCCTAGTACACAATTTGGTGCCATGATTAGATAAATAATTAAGAAACAACGCAGGATTTTGGTGATTAACTTTTACAGTGACACATCAACAGAGAAAGAAGAAGTTTTATCGTCAGTTTATACCACATGTAGGCGGCAGAAGTCAGGTTTCTTTTCAACAGATGTTCGAAAACGCATCATCGACAGTCAACATCGAATTATTTGTGAAGATCGTTGGTAAACATAATCCATTTTTGTTTCACGTACAAAAAAAAACACACATACAAGATGCAGAAAGATGGTGAAACGTTAAATGTTACAGTGAACATGACCGAAACCCACAAACGATCCTACGAAAACGAGCTACTTTGAGAAGTTTGTTACGAAAGAAGATCGAAGTGAATGCCATAATCGACAGTGAAGAACCTGATTTAAAGAAATTACGTTGTCAAAGACAAGCTTGTGTTGGCCAAACACAGACTTCAAGGCACAGAGTGGGACTTTGCAAATGTAGCAAATTACAAAAGACTCAACCTTCTACGATAATTACATCACGTGCAAGAACACTGTAAAGTTGAGAAGTTTTAATTCTTTGGAAGATTGTTATACCGGAAGTAGACAGACCTCACAAATGAAAGCATCAGAAGATAGCCAAGGTCAATGACATTTGACATTGAAAAAAAGACAGTCAACAAAAGTCAAGGTTACGAGATACAAGTCATCAAAATTTTAAAATATTTACGGCTATAAAACCGGAAGTTGAGATAGGACAGCAAATATAAAAGTATAAATATATAATCAATGTGAATGACCTTTTATCCTACTTCTAAGACAACGTGGCTCAACAGATGAAGTAATTGTATGCAAAGTTCCATTTTGAACAAATGTATAATTTGTGAGTTATGCCCCAGGCCAAAAATGTCAATAATGGGTAATTTAACCCGGATGTGCCACTCCCACTTCTTTGGCATAAGTTTATTGATATTCTGAATGTTATGTTGTGTTTTAAATTTAAACCTTCTACATCATACAGGTCAAAAGATATAGGTCAACAAATGTCAATAAAGGTCAAAATCAAAAATTGAAAATATGGAAATTTCAAAACCCGTTCCTTTTTTGGAACTATAAAGCTGAAACAACTGACCTATTAGACAATCTGACCAAAATAATGAGGTAATTGTGTGCAAAGTTCCTTTTGGAACAAATGTATCCTATACGAACAAAATTGGCCATTGACTTTTTTGAGAATTAGGCTGTTTGAACCTGATCGTAATTATGTTAGATTCCTTTGGTATACAGATGGAGATCCAAACAAACAAATTAAAGTCTACAGATATACCTCTGTTTTCTTCGGTGGTAAAAGTTCACCATTCATAATGAACTCAACAGTTATCTACCACTTGTCTAAGTATGCAGCGGATCGAGACAATTTCAAATCACAGATTGCAGCAGATCTCAAAAGCAAACTATACTATGACAACGTTCTAAGTGATAAAAATGATGAAGATACAGCCATCCCGTGTTATCATTCAGCACGTCTGATTATGAGCGAAGCAAATGTCTCCAGTTACTGCCAGAGCGAAGAATTTCATCTCAGAACTTTGGAAGCAGAATTATGAGTGGGATCTCCATCTTGAGTACCATGATATTGCGTTGAACATCGAAGCAGCATCAACAATACGAATTCAACTATTCGTCGACTTCGATAAAGATAAACCCATACAGCTACACACGTTCTGTGATGCAAGTCCAGAAATTGCAGCTGCGAGTGTACTCTATCTCCGCCAAGAGGATAAGGTCTAGTTGATTGCCTCCAAGTTCAAAACCGGTTCTTCTTAACGGGAACTGGTTGCTATGGCGATCGTTGATGGATATTATTTCCAAGAATTTCAAAGTGGTTGAACAGTTCTACTGGACAAACTGTAGCATATGTCTCCCATTGTTGTCATCAACCAAGAAACTGGACATTTTTGTAAGAAATCGCCTTGATGAGGTTCAACGTTTGCCAGATGTCAGAAATTGGAATCATGTCAGATCAGAAGATAATCTAGCAGACTTGCCATCAAGAGGTTGTACAGCAGATCAATTCATCGAATAAAGATTATGGTTGTCTGCTTTATCCTGAAAAATGGTCTGAACCTGTTATTGCTAATCCTGACGAACCAAATTCAAATGGTGACATATGTTTATCTACTGTTGCTTCAAATGAAAGTTGTTCAAATCGTACACTTAGTCTACTTAGACTACTTTATGTCTCCAGAAACAGTTCTTATGAAAAACTGCATTCAGCATTCTTAAAGCTCATCAAAAGGAATGTTTTCCAGACGAACTCGCATTCTTAATAAAGAAGCCGGATTCTGGGAAGACCAGAATTTGGTTACCAGCAGCAAGTAGTGAAGTATCCAGAGTTCTACGGCGATGTCTTTATTTGTCGTTACCATGTTGGCAAACCCTTCAGACTTCCTCCAGAATTTCGCCATACCAGAATTTCGTCTCAACCGGGTCATCTGATGCTAAAGACTGGTGGAAAGAAAGCCCAAAAGTGTTACATTTGCCTATTTACATGTAACACAACACGAAACGTAAACCTAGAAGTTGTAACTGACATGTCTACAGACCAGTTTTGCAGGCATTTCGCAGACACCGCTATCTATATGGTATTCCCAGCATGATACTTTGTGACAAAGCTGCAACGTTCCTGAAAGCTGATGAAGAAATAACCAAGCTTTTTAACTATTTGGATTAACCAGCTGTACAGAATCACCAACAAAGTTATCTTCATGAAGCACGTTCCTGCAAAATCTCCCCACTGGGGTGGAATGTATGAACGGTTGATTAGTGTGGTGAAAATAGTGATCAAGAAGGTGTTGCGTAGAGCTCTCATAGATCTAAATGAAATGCAGACACTTGTTAAAAAGGTACAGTCTGTTGTGAACGACAGACCACTCACATATCAACGAGTGCTGAAGATCCTGAACCAATTACTTTACGAGAGAGGCACATCTACCAGTTTTGTTTTACCAATCTCTCAATTCACCTACTTTATCATTTAGAAGTATATCTTTCGGAACCAAAGGAATTCTTTATGAACACAAACTCTTCGATTCCACAAGTAGAGACTGTTCCACTGAGACTCATTCGCCCCCGCCCCGACATTTGTGGAATCTTCAGAAAATGACAAGTAAAGTTCGGTGTCTCAGACTAATTTAATGTATGAACAACAACACGAAGGTGTCCCCTGTATTACCCATAAATGTAATACCCGCTATAAATGTAATACCTACCATAAATGTAACAAAAATCAACCATAAATGTAATATCCACCATAAATGTAATAGTCATCAATCATAAATGTAATAACCACCCTCACCATAAATGTAATAACCAACCCCACCATAAATGTAATAATATTTAACCATAAATGTAATAATATTTAACCATAAATATAATAATCAAAACCCACCATAAATGTAATACCCAATCAGCCATAAATGTAATAAACCACGTCCAAGTCATCATTGATCAGTGGCGGCGACAGCCTCATGGAACTTAGGTGCAAATAGGGGGCAGACTCATTAATGGCACAACTGTCAGGGTTGAAATTCCAAATATTGAAGAACCAAGGGCACAAGAATCTCGTGGGGGGTGGGGGGGGGGGGAGTTCTGAGGGATCCTCCCCCAGAACATTTTTGAGAAATATGAATGATTTGGTGCATTTTGCCACGTATTTTGGAACACATATGTATAAGGTATCATTTTAAAAATTTATCAGAAATAACGTGGGGTTGCAAATGAGGGTACAGACAATGTATGTGATGTGTCTTTAGCTTTAGCTAAATTATTCTGTGTATTTTGTTATGATAATGTTTTATTATGGATTAAGCTTTGGAAGTCCAGATCATGACTCATTCCTTTCAAATGTTACTTTTCTTGTTAATGTCAACGAATTTTTAGTAATAAAAAGTTAAATTTGTACACTTGTTTTAACATCTTATTCAGGTTATTGAAATACTAGAAACGTTGCTCTTCAGAATGCATTTAGATTGAACCTGTTTTTTTTTGTCTTATCTTTTTGATTTGGTTTGTCAGATTTCAGCCCAGAAATATAATATATTTTTTTTTAATCTGAATGCGCTCTTTTTTCATATTGGCACAAGATAAGCATGGCAATATATGGAATATGGAAGCGGTTAAAAAAGGGCTAATCCCCGGTAAACCATGAAATTTCAAGGTGAAGTCCTCGGCAGACATCATAGTTCTTTTCTTAGTTGTATTCAGTGCTCACATGACAATTTTTGTGACTTTGCAGTTCAATCAATGCTGACTTAATAAAGGCCGCAGAGCGTCTCTGGAAGTGGAGGGGCCCGTGGTCCGAAAAATCGAACCGACCTCACCTCCACTCGATTTTTATACGCCCACATGAATATGTGGTCGTATATTGTCGTTGCCCCTGTCCGTCGGTCCGTCCATCAACATTTCTTGTGAGCACTATAGAGACTACAGTTTTTATCTGATTTTGATAAAACTTGGTGTGATGCTTTAGATTGATAAGATCTCGGTCAAGTTCGAATTTGACATATTTTCGATGAACGGTTTTTGAGATATTGCCCTTGACTTAGAACGCCTTGAAATTTGTTAAAAATTCTTCGTGAGCAGGATTGAAGCTACAGTTTTCATCCGATTTTGATGAAACTTGGTGTGATCATTGGAATTCATAAGATCTCGGACAAGTTCTAACTTGACGCATTTTCGATGAACGGTTTTTGAGTTATTGCCCTTGACTTTGTTAAAACGCGTCGACATTTGTTATAAGTAGTTCGTGAGCAGGATTGAAGCTACACTTTTCAACCGATCCTGATGAAACTTGGTATGATCATTGGAATTGAACCCTTTCGGAGTTATTGCCCTTGACTTTGTAAAACACTTCAAAATTTGTTTGTGAGCACAATAGAAGCTACAGTTTTCAACCGATTTTGATGAATCTCGGACAAGATCTAACCTGACGCATTTTCGAAGGACGGTTTTTGAGTTATTGCCCTTGACTTATGAAAACGTGTCAAAATTTGTTTGTGAGCACAATAGACGCTACAGTTTTCAACCGATTTTGATGAAACTTGGTGTGATCATTGGAATTGATAAGATCTCGGACAAGTTCTTACTTGAGATATTTTTGATATATATTTTTTTGAATTATTGCCCTTGACTTTCTAAACACACGTCAAAAGTTGTTTTTCGCCCTTGATTAGAGCTGTGTGATTTCATTGTTTGTTGTATTTGGGTTATTGATATTGATTTTAAAAAAAATTGTGGAATTACTCAGCATAAATAACTGGCATATATATATGTAATTGAATTCAAATTAATAAAATTTCTTCAATATGAGAAAATTCGTACTTTAGTCACTAAAGACTATTTTATCATTTCTGACAGCTGCCAGTGGGCGTATGTTACCTTGCCTCGCAAGCTATCTTTAGATTAAAGACTTTATCGTATGATGATGAGAAAAAAAATTGGAATGAAAAAAAAAAATAAAATGTTATGGGCCAGAAAGCTCCGCGGCCTCTGCTTAATTACTCTATATTTAACTGCACCGTTATTTATTACCTTTATGGTTGATGGGTATTACATTTATGGTGGGTTTTGGTTATTGCATTTATGGTTAAATATTATTACATTTATGGTCGGGTTGGTTATTACATTTATGGTTGATGATTGTTACATTTATGGCGGGTATTACATTTATATCCCCAACGCTGACTACAATAAACAAACTTGTACCAAAGCCACGCTTTCGACACTTCTAAGCATGACGTCATACACAACGTGAAGGCCTACATTCCAGTCAGTCGTATAAGCCCTAGGTTGGTGGTTTATCATTTATTAAGATATTTGGAAGATGCTAAATGAATCATTTGAATGGACTTTAGTAAAGTTACATGTGATATTTGATTTTAACGTTTCAATCACTATAGTAGTACTAGGCCTTTCTATTTCATTCCATGGGGAAAGTGCGAACATATTGAAAGGTCCCAAAAAAGACCTAACACCCTATATTCCATAAATTCCTACGCCAAAAAACACCCTCAATCAATTCCTACTCCATACTCACCCTACATTCCATCAATTCCAACCCAAAAAAAAAACAACCTATTCACCCTAAATTTCATTATTAAATTATACGAAAAAAGCATATTAAAAATACCCAAATACAAAATATGTTTCGCTTAACATCCGGTTTTTTTAATAGCCTCTTTTTATAGCCTCGTTTTAAATAATGTTATTTATAGTTTTAATGTAGAAACTTTCGGAAAAAAAACAGACCACAATTTCTTCGTTAAAACACGAACAACACAAATTCGAAGATTATTCGGGAGACGGTATCTTTCATCAATATTTTCTGTAGGTTCAAAAATAATTTCAAAAGTAGCTAGCTTTGTTTCAAAAAACAAATCCCTTATTTCCTCGGAAGCTAAAGCTGTCGGTTCTATCGCGGAAGCGAGAAAGAGTATAAGCGACGCAGTGAAACAATCTGACGAGTTGAAAGAATTACAATTAATAAGAGATCTGCGAAACAGGAGATTAGAAGAAAGGAAAGGAAAAGGTTTTAAAGTTATAGGATAAAAAATGAAAGTCGCTCACGCTCCAAAAACTTATTTCAGTTCAGATATACAAAAATCATTAGACTCTCTTCCTGGATTTCCATGGGAAAAACATCCCGGAGAAAAACATCTCCCGGGTCATAATTGCACTGGTCCAGATACCAGGTTAGATCTGCGAAAACGATAAACCCAAACCGGCCGAAGAACCAGTCAATAGAGTTGACACCGCTGCGCTTAACCATGATATTTTATACATAAAAAAGGACATAAAGTTTAGACACGAAGAAGACAGACAAATGATAATCGAAATTGAAAATATTCCAAATCCAACTTTCAAAGAGAGAATCCAAAGGACTCTGATCATAAAACGATTAAAAGCAAAGATGAAATTGGGCATGGTATTGGCAGATGAAATTCATAAAGAATTTAGAAGAACTAAAAACTATTTAAAAGTTAAAGTATTTGAAAAAGATGAAATATGGTCAGTCGATTTAAATAATCTCTGGGATTTGAAATATACAGCACGCATAATGAAGGTAAAGCTGTAGTTATTGAGAGATACAATAGAACTAATAATATAAAATAAATTATTCAAAAAGTTCACGGAATTGAAATCTCAAAAATGGCTTAAAATATTACCAGAAGTTGTAGATGAATACAATAACAAAATTCATTCATCTATAGGTGTCACACCAACACAAGCCACAAATAATCCAAATATTATAAAGTCAATTAACGCGCAACATAACTATGAAAATGAAATAGGTAATTTAAATATTAAACCCAAATTCAAAATCGGAGATTGAGTTGGTATTTTCAAATATAAAAACAAATTCGAAAAAGGTTACGTTGGATACTGGACAAACGAAATATTCATCGTTGATAAAGTAAACACCACATCACCTCCGACATATGAATTAATCGATCAAGACAAAGAACAAATCATAGGTAGGTTTTATCAAAACGAACTTCAAAAAACCGACTTTTAAAAATGAATATCTTTCTCGATAAATATGGAACTGATACAACCACAAACTTTCCACTTATGAGATGGGCGAATGAGTTAAATATGGCACCGTTTTATTATTGTATGAGAGATGAAATAAAAGATCTCAAATATAAGAAAGGTAAATTTTATGCTATAACAAATATACATACTTCCGATCAAAAAGGAAGACAAATCTAAATCATTAACTTTTATGTCCATTGGATTGAAAGATGGATATTTTTCTTTTATATATGTATCTAAGATTTCTTTTATTTCTATCTCATCGTTGTTTTCATAATATTTAAATATGTCCTGAACGTCTTTCTTTGGTATATATTCTTAAGCTTTGAGGAATTGATAATATGATTGTTCTGGTGTTGTTGTGTAGATATATAATGAATCGAAATCTAAAAGTTTTGGTGTTGTCAACATGTTGAAGGTCAAATAAGTTTTCCCAGAACCTGAGCTACCGCATATACACAAGAGCATTGGGTTACTAGGAAATATTTCTGAATGATTAAATTTTCTGCCCATTTTTTATTCTATATTTTTGTTCCAAAAATCACTCCTTCTCCTTTATACTTTGAAAGAACGTTTGTTTTTACAAAAATATAGCATTACCCTTATGTTTGACCTTCGTTTCTCCAGTGTCGATTTTATCTATTAGATTACTTAATCCCTCTTTAACAGTTTTATATCTACGTTTTTCACTTTTTTCAGCATCAGCTGCGTTCTTGGCGTTGATGGCTTGCGTTATCCCAGCCGCCCTACCAGCTGTCGCCTCTGCAGCGGCCAGGCCAGCAAATATTAAAGGTAGGAAAGGTAAAGATCCACCTTCCTTTACACTCTTGTCAATTCTTTCCAAATCTATATCATCTCTAACTTTACAATGTTTATATTTATCGATAATTTTTTTAGATATTTTAATCCTTTTACCATTGTAAGTTATTGTAGTTGGTGATTCCGTTTCGATAGCTTCTATTATTCTTTTTACTAAAGTTTCTGGTTTCATTTTTAAGAGGGTAATTCAAATGATTATTTTATACGAATCATCCATCTGTCGAATATTTTAATTAAATGTTTTGCTTCTTCCAATGATAAACAATAACCTGTTACATTTCCTTGTGTTTTTTCAATATAAATATTTATATTCACCCCTGTTTTGAAAAGATCTTCTTGATGAGCTGATAGATCAAAACAGAAGATTGAATGATTAAGTGCAAAATCTACATATTCAAACTGAGGTGGATTTCTAAATAATTCACACATATTTTTATATTTTCTATACAATTCATTATAATCCTTTGTGGATGGATTAATTGTTAAAGGTTGGTTAGGTTAATTATCGTTGTTTAATCTTACTTTAACTTTATGGATTATAGGATCTTGAATTTGGTTCATTTCTACTCTAAAGATATTATTATTATTTGTCTGAGAGTCTGGTAAATTCTTAAAACCAACCATTAAATATCTTCTGGTTTAATAGTGTTAGTGATTGGCCATGTAGTGGATTCTCCAGTTAAAGTTATACTACCTATTGTGTTGCGACGAAGAAATGCTATTTCTATATCTTTAGTTAATGAGTTGAATATTCTCGTTTCTACTTTAATTGATGGTGTTATTACGGGTATGTAAAGTTCGATTCGTTATTTCTAATTTTGCATCTGAAGCATTCTCTCCAAAGAATATCTTATCATCATTGATTTCTCTTTGTAGATGAATTTTATATGGTAACCCTATGGAAACTTTTCTGTGTTCCAACACACCGAATAATGGATATAAATTTCAATTTACGTACCTGCTCGTCCTACTCTCTCTATTGTGTTTCGAGTAATAGCTCTCATTCTAGCTTCATCTGCATCATTTGGAACATTTCTTACCGGTTCTTTTAAAACACTTCCATTGCCAACATCGGGTATCCAGCCTGAGACTGAATCGAAGTCTTTAGGATATAAAACTGTTTTCAACATTGTATCGAATTCCCCAGGGTGTTTAATTGTTTTTATCGGATTTGAACCAGCTTCCAAAACCATTTCAGTAAACAAAGATGGAAAGAAATTGCAGAAGCAACCAATTCGATAATGAATTAATCTCGAAAGTGACCCTACCCCCATCATCTAGTTGAAACCTAGAGCCAACGGTTGGTGATATGATAATGTAATCCTCTTTTTTCTTATTAACGAATAACGAATTGGATCATATAATTGAAAGATCGGATCTAATCTGTTTTTTTTTCTGCCATTTTTAAAGATAGGTTTTACCCTATTATTTGGAACCATTTACCCCATGGAAATGCAGGAATAATAACAAAAAAAAACAAAGTAGGTTTTAATAAATACAAGGAAATTTAAAACATAAACAATTACATGTATATTGATATACACCTCTACTAGATATACTTCAGAGTTATCTCCCCTCTTACACTATTGCCAGTCATAGTTCAAGGGTCAAGGGGTTACGACCACTCCTGGTAGAATCGCTAGATATACTTCAGAGTTATCTCCCCTCTTACACTATTACCAGTCATGGGTTAAGGGTTAAGGGTTAAGGGTTAAGGGGGTTACGACCGCTCCTAATAGAATCGCTAGGAATACTTCAGAGTTATCTCCCCTCTTACACTATTGCCAGTCATAGCTCAAGGGTCAAGGGGTTACGACCACTCCTAGTAGAATCGCTAGATATACTTCAGAGTTATCTCCCCTCTTACACTATTACCAGTCATAGTTCAAGGGTCAAGGGTGAAGGGGTTACGACCGCTCCTAGTAGAATCGCTAGATATTCTTCAGAGTTATCTCCCCTCTTACACTATTGGCAGTCATAGTTCAAGGGTCAAGGGGTTACGACCACTCCTGGTAGAATCGCTAGATATACGTCACATATTTTATCCTTTTCCAAAACGCTTGTTCTTCAGCACTTGTTCTATTTTCGAAATCTGTATCAACAATTTTGAAACCTCGGATATTTGTCACAGAGTTTGGTAGTATCCCCCACTGCCTGCGATGGTTTAAATATTCTTCGTGATATGAAATGTTGACATCTATTAAACTTGTGTCTGGAATAGAACAAAATTGATATTTTGAAAAACAACAAATAATCTTAATTCCACCCTCTCGTCTTATGATTAAATTAAAACAAAGAACATACCTTGATTTTGTATGATTAAATTCCTATTCTTCCAGCGTAACAAAATTGAGACAGTATTAATAGTTGAGAGTTTAGTCTGTCTATGCCGACGTGGCCTGGGCGGAATGTTATATGTAACCATCTGTTACTTAGTGACGTATATCCAGTCAACAATAGTCTAGACGACTGATTGTTACCGGGCGTTGAAGGTAATTATTAAATCAATAATACTCTAGAAAGACTAACCGTGTATAAACTGGTTGGTATTTTACTTTGAAGTAAACAAAAAACAGTGTTACCTCCCATTGATCAGTTAAGTTTCTAAATTCTTTGTGTATTTCATCTGCTATTCCCATACCCATTTTCATCTTTGCTTTCAAGAGTTTAATGATTAATGCTCTTTGAATTCTCTCTTTGAAGATGAGAGATGATAGAGCTGAGAAGAAACCGTCTCCTTCGAATTTGTGTTGTTCGTGTTTTAAAATTAAACTCATTCTGTTTTTAAATGAGTTAATTTGAAGATATTATTGGCTGGGGCGCTTGGGGGTTGGTAAACATGTACCCCTATAGGCTCGGATTTATTAACTGTGTGCCTGGTGGGGTTGTTTCTTTGGTGGGCTTGCGGGCGCTGCGGGCAAAAGAGTAGTATAAGAGCTTATAGATAGGGGGCGGTTTTTATAATTTAATTTTTTGACGTTAGGAAAAAATTAATTTTTTTTTATAAATTATGAAAACCTCCCCCTATCTATAAGCTCTTATACTACTGTCAACATGTTAAAAGTGAGATGAGTTTTCCCAGAACCGGAACTACCGCATATACACATGAGCATTTGGGTTACAAGGAAATATTTCTGAATGTTTGAATTTCTTTCCCATTTTTTATTCTATATTTTTGTTCCAAAAATCACTCCATCTCCTTTATACTTTGAAAGAAATAAACCTTCTCCAGTGCGTATGTTTTTTAAAAATATTCCATTACCCTTATGTTTGACTTTGACTTCTCCTGTGTCAATACTATCTACTAATTTATTTGTTTAACAGTTTTCTTGGTTTCTTCCCCAAATCGTTTTACGAATTCTTTAACTGTTCCTAATATATCTGCCACTCCTGAACTTTTTTTTACAGTAGCTGCTTTATGTGCTTGCTTTTCCATTTCTAAATTGTATCTATGTTCTTCGGCAGCTTTTACTTTAGCTGCTTTATCATCGTTGGCAGCGCTTACTACAATAGCTGTTCCACCAGCTATTGCACCCGCAGCGGTAAGACCAGCAAATATCAAAGGTACGAAAGGTAAAAATCCACATTCTTTTGCGTTCGCGTCAATTCTTTCTAAGTCTATATCGTCTCTAACTTGACAATATTTGTATTTATCAATAAGTTTTTTTTAGTTATGTTGATTTTTGACCATTGTAAGTTATTACAATTGGGGAAGCTGTTCAATAGCTTCTATTATTTTCTTGACTAAAGTTTCTGGCTTCATTTTTAAGGGTGTATTTTTTACTCAATTCTTATCATTCTTCTATCTGCTATTTTAATTAAATGTTTTGCTTCTTCCAATAATAAACAATAACCTGTTACATCTCCTTGTGTTTTTTCGATATGAATATTTATGTTGCTACTCTAAAGATATTATTGTTATTCGTCTGTAAGTCTGGTAAGTTCTTGAAACCAACTATTAAATATCTTGCTGGTTTAATAGTACTGGTGATTGGCCAAGTAGTGGATTCTCCAGTTAAAGAAGAAAAGCTTTTTCAATAGCTTTAGTTAATGAGTTGAATATTCTCGTTTCTACTTCAATTGATGGTGTTATTACCGGTATGTAAAGTTCGATTTGTTATTTCTAATTTTGCATCTGAAGCATTCTCTCCAAAGAATATCTTATCATCGTTGATTTCTCTTTGTAGATGAATTTTATATGGTAATCCTACGGAAACCTTTCTGTGTTCCAACAGACCGAATAGAGGATATAATTTCCAATTTATGTACCTGCTCGTCCTACTCTCTCTATTGTGTTTCGAGTAATAGCTCTCATTCTAGCTTCATCTGCATCATTTGGAACATTTCTTACCGGTTCTTTTAAAACACTTCCATTGCCAACATCGGGTATCGATTTGTTATTTCTAATTTTGCATCTGAAGCATTCTCTCCAAAGAATATCTTATCATCGTTGATTTCTCTTTGTAGATGAATTTTATATGGTAATCCTACGGAAACCTTTCTGTGTTCCAACAGACCGAATAGAGGATATAATTTCCAATTTACGTAATTACCCCACCTATTATTCTCAACAATATTATTGTACTGAAGTACTCGTTTTTCAAATCCATGATTAGCTGCTCGTGCTACTCTTTGTTGCGAGCAACAACTCTCACTCTAGCTCAATCCGCATCATTTGTAACATCTCTTATCGGTTCTTTTAAAACACTTCCATTGCCAACATAGGGTATCGTAATTTTTGGGATAAAGAACTGTTTTCAACACTGTGTCAAATTCACCAGGATGTTTAATGGTTTCTATAGGATTTGAACCAGCTTCTAAAACCATCTTGCTAAATAAAGATGGAAAGAAATTGGTTTCTAACATTGTATTAGTTTGTAGTACACGATTTTCATTGGGAGTTCCATCTTTTATTTTGAAATCGCATCTGAAATAAGCATCGGAAAGAAGCATCCAATTCGACAATGAATTAATTTCGAAGGTAATTCTACCACCATCATTCAACTGGGATTTAGAACCAACAGTCAGTGAGATGATAATATAATCCTCTTTTTTCTTGTTAAATGAGTAACGAATCGGATCGTATAATCTAAAGATTGGATCTAGTATGTAATTTTTATTTGCCATTTTTAAGGTTTAAAATTTGAGTAGAAATTTTTCAATTTGAGTTAATTTTAAAAATGTAATGTAGAGTTAATAGGCTCTTTTTGGGGTGGGAATTGGTGGAATGTAGGGTGAGTATGGAGTAGGAATTGATTAAAAGTGTTTTTTTGGTGTAGGAATTTATGAAATGTAAGGTGTTTAGGTTTTTTTTTGGGGTAGGAATTTATGGAATGTCTGGTGTTTAGGTCTTTTTTGGGACCTTTCAATATGTTCGCACTTTCCCCATGGAATGAAATGGAATGGGGAATCCCCTTGCGAACATATTGAAAGGTTAGTACTACTCACTATGTTGTTTGAATTATAAGTAGTAGGTAATAATATACTTAACATTTGTCTTTGAATCAGTGTTTTAGACGGTCGGTAGAGCATGAAGTAATGGCGCAAATTGGCCTCTATACAAGCAAACCAATTTTTATGGCAATGTAAAGGCGGCTTATAATATCTTAGTGAATATAACTCAACTTGTGTGCCACTTATTACCAAAAAACGTATAGTTGCTTGAAACAAATGGTTACAACCATTAAATAAAATCCTTCTTTGGCTCAAATGATCAAAACGGTTGCTTTTTTTACCAAATAATATTGGATTGTACATGTAGAATTATGAAGTATTTAATATGACTCAGTTTACATAGAAATTGAATCGAAATCGATTAAACACAGGTTATATTGTTAAACCCATGAAATACATTTTGAAGGGTTTTTTGACAATCATACGTTACTGGTAGTTTTCAGGGTCATAATCCCCTACCTCATAATTTAATTCATCATAGGAAGGAGAGTCTTTTGTACTTAGATTCGATTTTTTAAGGTTTCTGATTTCTTGGGCTAAAGACTGTTCAGTTTTCTTTAAAGCGTCTTCAAGTTTCTTTAAACTACTTGGTCCGTTTGATGTTGGTTTAATCCGTGTTGCTGCTCTAGCAATGGCTGGTCTACGGCTTTCGGCTGGTTTAACGAAAGATTTTGACTTTGGTATGACTTTGCCTGCTACAGGTGCTGGTCTTTGTCCATCTTTTCCAATGTTTGCTTTCACCACACCCGGATGACGTATAGTAGGGGATTTGCCCTTCACAATTTGTCGTGATATTCCAGATTTAACAGCTAACTCATTCTTATTTTTAACTTGATTCTTTCCTGAAATGTAAAATATGTAAGTAATATATAGTTAGTAAGAAATAAACATTTTAAAAAAAAAAAACCCTAAAAAACCTAGAACTGTGAACAGGTCCAAGTGTGGCACGAGACCTTATCCCATTGTTCCTTAGCAACGGTAGTGTGTTCACAATCCTATTTCTCGTCATTAATTTTGATAGGTAGGGTAGAGAGTTTATCTCTCGACCAATAATATTTTCCAAACAAAATATCGCGGGAAAATGTTTAAATGACCAGATGCAAAATCGTCAAACTATTCATGTTATGAGGACCTAGATACCAAACGGAAACGTTTAGTCTACCTATACTAATTGTATTATCTGCCGGGAATTGGCGGCAGACTAGACTGGTTACTAACTCTATTAAGCCTAGGCCTTGTAGGCCTTCTACTAGAGTTAAGTAAAACACTTATATACGCATAGGCCTAGTACTGTAGAGGTAGTGTATTAGAAGGCCTAGCCTAGCCTTGATAGATTTCCACAACGTAGACACTCGAAGGCGACAGCAAACAATATATAATATAAATCGGCATAATTATTATAAATGTAAACTCACCATTAACATGATTAAGGTTAAGGGCGTCGACGTAACAAACAATTCCAATCACCGAAATCAGTGATAACACAAAAAATTTCATTCTGTCGTCCAAAAATAGCTGTCTTCAGTTGCCTTATGACGTAAGTTTCATGACAACGACTCCATGACGTCATAATCACCGGTTTAGTGAAAATAACTCGCGGAGTCGATTGTGTTTGGTGTGGTTTGGTCCAAATTTTTATTACTTAAAGTTTCCTGCCATTGGCCCATCGAAACTTACCACTTGATTTTATTCGGGACAAAGAGAAATATACTTTATGTGCATAATAAAAATATATCACGCGTGTCCATTATATACTTCTGATTGGTTGTTCAATGATCAATGTCAAACCGAAACGTCTAGATCTTGTAGTGGGCTAAAAAAATAACATGTTTGCTCTACGATGTCGTAACGTAGCATAGGCAATCGTAGGGAAAATGGTGTAGGCCAATAAACAAATGCGGTAGGCTATTAGGCCTACGCGTGCGAATGCGCACACGCTGATTTCCTTCTACCGCATCGGGATAAACAAAGTCGATTTAACATGGAATTCTATGCATGGCCAACGATGGAAAAAGATTTCAAGAGTTAACAACAGTGACATATATCCATTTATCATTCAGAACGTTGTCTTACTTAGGCAAGTTTTGTCAGTTCAAGGCACGTGACTCACGATTGTAAATGTAGTAAAACCTTTGCAGACCCTATATTCGCCCCCCCCCCCCCCCTGCAAAAACAGAACAAATCCTCTATTGAAGCGGAAATCAGTCTCTATTAGCTATTTTGATCCCCTCCCCCTCCCGCATGCAAATGCGGCCGTGCCCTTGGCACATTAGACTGGTTAGAATGCCGTTAAATCGGCGTTGTTTATCCCGAGGCTGAAGAATAGCTTGAAACGTCACCAGTGACAAAATGCCTTCACTGCGCAACCCACATTGCTTGTATTCATTAGTACATAGAATTAGTACATGATTAGTATAACAGAAAAGTAGGCTAGTAAACTTCGAAATCCGTTTATGAACAATCAACGTTATCACGTGCTTGCCTAGCGACATGGTACATGCATTATGACGTCAACTGACAATGACACGTTCCATTGAAATCAGAACTTTCGTGGAAGATTGTTATTTTTTAAAAGCCAAAATGAAGTTCTGTTGGTTTCTTTTGGCAACTATTGTACTCTACATAAGCTACGTCAATGCTGAAAACACAGGTAGGCAACGTACACAATGTTTTTAAAAGTTATTTTGTTAATTTTATTATAGTGAAAGAGTAGCCTCAAAGTCATATCAGTGAATTTTTCTCGAAAGAAGAATATGGATTAACCTACTATTCGCAGAACTTTGATCATTGCACCCCGAGCAGGCCTGGGTGTTAGGCTATAGCCTAATGCTTATCGCTCGTGTTTGCACGTTCAAACGCTGTTATTTCAGCGGAGAGCGGGGGCACGAGTGACAACATTAAATGAGGTAAACAAAAAAAAAAAAAAAAAAAATCAATTCAAATACCGCGCAATGTAGACGTAACGAAAACGACGATATTGATTGGCATACACTTTAAACATGATCAAGGAGATCTATATAATGCACCCTATAAAATCAAATAAAGAAGAATAGAATTATTTTAAACCTTAAATAGATTTAGTTAAATGTATTGAAAGATAATTCTATTTTTTGTATACACCAACTAACAATTAACTAAATATATTTATCTGTACTGTAATTGAAATTCTATTTTCCAGATATCTTTAATTCTTTCTATTCTTCGAAGAAGCAAATGAACGCCATAAAAAATTTGATATGGAATCCATGTCATGTTTCATTTTTTGCAAACTATTAGTGATATTCAACACTGATTGCTTATTCAGTCTAAACCTTGCTTTAAATTCCTCCTCCGAAAACCATGTGAAGCGGTCCAGGCGATCCCTGACATGTCAATTGATGAGAATAACACGGTTGATTTCACTAAGTTCATCTATATCGTTGAAATAATCGTCTATTTTGAAACATCGAAGAGCCACATAAGGAATTTCTACTGATTTACAAATAGAATTAAAAGTTAAAACTGGTCTCGATCAACTTTAAGTTTAGCATTAAATTAGCCAATTTTATGTGGTGCATACAAAATATAGCATTAAATTAAAAGTTATTCGGGCAGTATAGAATTAAATTAGGCTTAATTTCAATTGGTGCATACGAGTCAATATTTACAAACTGTTATCAGTATGTTGTACAGTTAGTCATGTTTTCAATACCAAAGTTAACTAAAGAGTAGGCTATTACCGAAAAGACGAATAAGAGTACAGGCATAAAAGCTTAATGGGCATCCTGAAGCACCGACACACGCACTTATGCAAACGACGCAATAAAAGTTACCCGCACAGGGGGAGATTTCAGTTTGGCTACTCGTGACGAATGACTGAGCTGTTGTCTCACGTACACGCCGGACTTAAGATCGTACCTTTGGCTTTTTCAACACTAAATGTGTCGTCGAACACTTGAAGAAAAATGTCATAGGGGTAAAATCTCAATAATTACCAATCCTGGGAGATAAGCTTACTCAGCGAGTGTTGATTACATTTACATTGTCGAAATCAGCACGTAAAAATGTAACGTCCTTTAAAATGACGATAGTCAGATCTATTGTCAAACATGTGCATTGCTGATATACATCGCCAATATCACGTTGTGCCGAATGCTTGCTGATGACGATTAGAATGAGTGGATCATTGGTTGAACGTAGAGAAAATATAATGAAAGATTACAACTGTCACTGCACAAATTGGTCTGTGGCGAATCTCTTGTAGTTTCAGATTTCTTTGCCCTCCAGAAAGCATATTGTAAGTGCTGTCGCTGCAGGTGGCGATCTTGACCATCCTTATTCGGTCATTACATGCACAATCATCCGCGGTATTCGTCGCATTCAGTCCATCATTTGAGCAAATACTAAAAGACTATGGAGGGGAATCGTTGCCAGAAGTATTTACAAAAGTCAAACTTGAATACAAGGCCTCGATTTTACAAAGTCATATTTCAACATTACACAATTACAAAATAAACCTTCCTAAAATCAAAAAGTCAATGTACTAATTACAAAGTAGAGATATTGATAGTTTACTTTTCAAACTTTATTTCACATCAGACACCATTCAAACTTTCCTTTACGAAAATGAATTCTTAACTTTGCATTATTGACATTATCAACTATGTCTTCTTGACTTTGCATTCGTGAAAGATGTAAGTTCGACCACTGTATTCTTGAGAGTTGTAAAGTCAATTTCTGCATTCTTGAACGTTTACCATATAAGGTAACTTGACCTACTGCATTTACATAATCCGGAAATTCACGGAAACTAACGGAAATATAAATCAATAATTGCTCCTTGTCAAAGTGATTTAACTCTAAATAAGCCTCAAAACTGAACGTTCAAATGCGGCATTGGTCAATTGACACTTCGTCATTACTTCAGTGACCGGCCAATTTTTGTGGCCGATGGATACACTAATTTTTTGGATTGATTGTAATTGTTGTAATTAAATCAAAAAACGAAAAATTTGTAATTCATTTCTTATTCAAATAAAACCTCTAAAAAGTCGTGTAATGAATAGAATAATTACATACAGCAAGGACATTACATAATTACATAGTTGTCAACATTTCTTTGGCCAGTGACTGATATCCAATATGGATATTGAAAAATGGCAAATTCCTTCCAATGGTCTCCTTTGGAATTATGAATGCAATTGTTGGTGCCATTGAGGTCCTGAGATGCCAAACTAACATATTAAGGTGTACAGTGGGGAGAAATGCTTTTTATTCCCATAATCGCTAAAATATGGCCAGTGACGATTATCCAATATGGCGGACTGGCCAGTCAAAGACAAAGCCTCTACAAAGTAAGGCATGAAAGTACCATTATGTTGGAATTTTAGCGATATTCACAGGTCAGAAGGAACTATGTTATTGAGTTTGTGCCAATTCCATCCAAAAATCTGCCCCACCCCAATTACTATGGACTGTGCAAAAATTGGCCATGTAGGGGCTTCGTCTTCGTCACTGGCCATATTTGAGAAATTATAGGAATAAAAAGCATTTCTCCCCATTGTACACCTTAATATGTTAGATTGGCATCTCAGGACCTCAATGGCACCAACAATTGCATTCACAATTTCAAAGGAGACCATTGGTAAAAAATTTGCTATTTTTCAATATCCATATTGGATATCCGTCACTGGCCAAAGAAATGTTGACAACTATGTAATGATTCTATTCATTACACGACTTTTTAGAGGTTTTATTTGAATAAGAAATGAATTACAAATTTTTCGTTTTTTGATTTAATTACAACAATTACAATCAATCCAAAAAGATAGTCATCGGCCACAAAAATTGGCCAGCCACTGAAGTAATGACGAAGTGTCAATTGACCAATGCCGCATTTGAACATCCGGTTTTGAGACTTATTTAGAGTTAAATTTCTTTGACAAGGAGCAATTATTGATTTATATTTCCGTTAGTTTCCGTCAATTTCCGGATTATGTAAATGAAGTAGGTCACGTTACCTTCTATGGTAAACGTTCAAGAATGCAGAAGTTGACTTTACAACTCTCAAGAATACAGTGGTCGAACTTACATCTTTCACGAATGCAAAATCAAGAAGACATAGTTGATAATGTCAATAATGCAAAGTTTAGAATTCATTTTCATAAAGGAAAGTTTGAATGGTGTCTGATGTGAAATAAAGTTTGAAAAGTAAACTATCAATATCTCTACTTTGTAATTAGTACATTGACTTTTTGATTTTAGGAAGGTTTATTTTGTAATTTTGTAATGTTGAAATATGTCTTTGTAAAGTCAAGGCCTTGTTTTCAAGTTTTACATAAAGATGAGCTCACGTCATGAGCATCCCCATGTTAACGGAATGTAAGCGAACTTCCTAATTTTTGTCTTTTGTGAGATATGTTTCTGATGTCAATGTAAGATATGTGAATAAATTCAATATTTCGTACTATTTAGTTTGTATATTTTATTTAAGCGAAAGAATATAATGGTAAGGAAGGTGGTGTTTAAGATATCATATTCTAATACTTATCGTTCTAATTACACCTAACACTTTTGTTTATTGGTGAGATAATTTCTTGAAAGGTGAAAATATTTCGTAATGTATTTAGATAAACTTGTCCCCCTGTGTCCTCAATTTAGGCCTTAATCGTGTACAAATTTTCATTGATAATTGCCACATATTTGCATGGAAACAAAAAAAGATTTCATTTGCGGTTTTGTTTCTACATGTGTATTCAACTATCAACTATCGTAAGAGAAATTAAAGGCTCGTTCGCAGAATTGAAAGGTTTTGGAACATGTAAATACTGATAGGTGAGTGGAGAACAAAATTTGAACTCGTCGGAACTACCATGTCATGATTGTTCTCTGTTCTCTGTTGTCTGTATGGACATGTATGGAACGCCAAAGTTGAATATCTTGTTGAGGTCTGTACTTGGCGCTTGGCCAACTGTCTTGTATTAAGATTATTGATTATTGAAACTGAGAATTTGAGATAATTTCTTTCAAAATAAAATTACGTCACCTTTACATTAAAAAATTAAATCCTTTATTTAAAGTCTAGAAATAATGTTTTGAGTTTTGGAAAGGATGGTAAAAACTTATGTTAAGAGAAAAGAGTGGTTGCATTGTTGCAGGCACTCACTTTTACGGACAACCGTTCCTAGTTTTAGTGTTTCTATTATTTCAATATGATGTAGACCTACCGACTCCTGTACAAGATTAATAGAGACACAGAGAGATAAAGGCGACATCGGACATTGATACCCAGGTCTAAGCATCAGAATTTGTTTCCATTCGTTCAAAACGATTCAGTTGTCTCGGTCTTGCAAGGACATGCTCACTTAGTAATCAAATACTTGGATACAGGATAACTGGCTTTTAAACGTACACAATCAGATTTATGTAGAATACTCATGAATATATAAATGTGCGTATAGTATGTGGATAACCATTGCACCGTTGGTAAAAGGAACATGAGATGCACATAAAATCATCAAATAACTAAATTTGACAAGTTCCGAGTTTCATTGTGTATGTTCACTGTGATACCTTCATATAAAGAGTATCAAAACCAAATTAGGTTATTTGTGCTCTGAAATATTTTTCATAAAGAAATTATCTCACCATAATTAAAACGAATTTATAAAACAATAGCTAAAAGTGAATATACCCACTTTCAAAAAATGAGCGGCTTTGGCGTTCCATATTTGAGAACAGATATTTATGTATTATATGGGTTCCTACCAGTTCAATAGTTTTATGTAATAACAAACTCTACTTGTTGTATTCAAAATATGATGGATGACCACTATTAAACCCAAACCAATAAATAAAAAGTAAATTTCTTTCTTTTCTGATATTTTTCGTCTACATTGTAAACTAACACGTAGTCCCGTTGTATTGAAGCTATTTTAACCAATGATAGTGGGTCATGTAAGACCTGTGTCTGGATAACAACAAGGAATTAATGAAAACCAAAGTAGAGCAATATTATAGCATCTTCGGGTTCGTTATCTAACAATTTTTCATTGTTGGTAAGATTTGTTCCAAAAAAAATTCGCGACTGCGATAGAAAACTTGTTAGATTATAATGGAGACGAATAATATAAATGTATGAAATTGTATTATAATTTTAATTAGATTGTTTAAAACCGGTTCCCAATGTGTTAGACATGTTTGGCAACAGCCAGATTGTAGTGGTTCACTATCTGAGAAATAATTTTACTCTATTACACTTACGTTTCTTAAGGGACGTGGGTTTCAATTTGAATGGGTAGCTTAAATCACGCCTTGGATATTACGCCTACAATCTTTAAAATGATACATGGTCTAAATATTTTCCTAGAATTCTTCGTATGATTTCCTTCACAATGGACCCTGGAATGTCGTCTCTTCTCAAACATTCTCTTCTTCACAATATCAAGCTATACGAACTTGTACCTTGACTGCAATAGCGATGCAATAATTTCTTGTATAATGGCAGATTGTAAATGAAGCAAGCGATTTGATTGGATTGTATGCAAGCGAATACAACCAATCAGAGGCCTTGACAGAAAGTCTATGGACACAAAGCCATAATTTTTACAGCTTTTCTTTCGAGGGCTCTGACTGGCTGTATTTGCTGGCGTAAAATCCAATCAAATCGCTGCATTCTGTGTGCTCTGCATTATGAAGATGGAACATTTTGGGCATTCTTAGTTTCTAACTTTATGTTAACGGCAAATAAAACCAAATTGTCCCCTAATATAAATGCCATTTTTGTCTTTTCAGGTGAATTTCACAAAGTTGAAAAGCGAGCTGCTGTACAGGATATCCTTAATAAAAGACAACACACGCTCGATAAGATAAGGGCTGAAATAAATGCAGTCACTCAAGCCCCATGCATTCCTCAGAATCCAGTAGATTCCTCCAAGAAACCCAAACCTCCTACCCCTCAAACGGAAAAGAACAAAGGAGAAGACGACTACCCCGCAGAAGGAGATTATGAAGAAGGAGACTATGGAGAAGGAGATTATGAAGAAGGAGATTATGAAGAAGGAGATTATGAAGAAGGAGACTATGAAGAAGGAGATTATGAAGAAGGAGATTATGAAGAAGGAGACTATGGAGAAGGAGATTATGAAGAAGGAGATTATGAAGAAGGAGATTATGAAGAAGGAGATAATGGAGAAGGAGATTATGAGGAAGGGGATTATGAGGAAGGAGATTACGAAGATTATGAAAAATAGAAGTATGATATTAGAGAGAAAATGATAGAAGAGATAAATAAAAACAACCGAATGAATAAACCCTATTCATCAGAGACATTCTAGATTTGATCTGACATGCTATTTTCTGAATAAAACTATATTGACCCTCCGGATGCAATTAAAAACTTTGATATCTACGGTGGCTCACATACGATATTTTCCACTTTTCATTTTGAATTAAAAACTTTTTTTTTACTTGGTGGAAATTAATTTTCATTAGGTGATAATTCTTGTAATTTTTAATTAAAAACTTTAATTTTCACCTTTTCATGTTTTTAATTCAAAATTAAAAGTGAAATATGTCGTATGTGAGCCACAGTAGATATCTAAACTATTAATGGGCGACATTACGATATAATGTTATTTGTAATATATATATATATATACGGACATACGGACATGTAAGGGCTTCACTCGTATTCTGTTCTTGGTTAGTAAATTAAAACACGGTTAAAATGTAAGAAACCAGTAACGAGTAATTTCAACAAAACATTACACAAGACTCCCTGATATTCTGTCCACCAAGCCGTATATCCTAAGCCCCAAACCAATGACCCACCCCACATTTTCCATATATGGTCATGGAATCTGGCGTTAGTGATGAGTCATGCTTAGCCCCTTACTAACACCTCTTGTGATACGTTCAGTAAAATCAATAACTGGCCTAAAAGTATCCTTGTGTCCATATCTGGTCCTAAAATAGTACCACCTGCTACTTCTGATTCATGTTCAAAATCAATACTGACCTTGACTATAACGGTCAAGAGGTGATTCCATTTTAAAGGAGCACCTTCACTATACGTTCGACGAATCATACCTTAGTTTCAGAAACAGGATTTTTTTAAGCTTACATAATCAGTAATAGTGTTCACAGATCTTAGTCGAAATTTGAACCTTCAAATCCATGTGTATCCATAATTTTTCATGTTTGAAACTTAAAATTTCGACTCGAATTTAAGTGAGACTTTTCGTGCGATTTAGTACTTCTTTAGAATAGTACAGCACAATAAAGACTAAAATCAATCCCGAAAATGTCGACTGTTCCCCTTTAAGAGCGTTTTTATGAAGACAAAGAAAACAACTTTGCGAACATGACTATCAAAGACTAAAATACAATTAAATAATATTTTATAACAATATATCGAAAAAACCGGTATGAGAAAAATACCGGACGATACGAAATGATATATTCCCCATACAGGTATACCGTTGCGCTTCTATCGTGACAATATTTCGTGATATTAGACGTAAAAAAAAGTCGATATAATAATATATGATATCATAAATATTATGCTGTTCAGTTTTCGAAACACTATTATTTTAAAATATGCCAAATTGACCGTTTCAAAAACCATTTATAAAATTTGAAACATGACCCTTTAGAGGATTGTCATTAGACAACAACTTTCTATGACCCTGGGCAATGTAGTTCAATCACGCTTACTTACTAAGCCTATACCCATTTGGTGTACCTCATTTGGGCTTTTTTGCACAGGCATCTGTTTCTATCAATAGTCGACTCACTCTATAATAGTATATATATGAGAAGGTGGCTAACGCTTGTCACTATATATGGAAGGCGGAATGGCTTTTTATTCAATGTTCTTCATTGCTATTTCTTAATTCTAAATTCTTATCTCTTAATTTGCACGCTTAATTCAACATTTCGTC